AATTTAATTAAAACATTATGAGACTTTTTCATGATTATGTGTCACAATGTATTTAATGTGTGGCCCAAGACAACTCTTCTTCTTCCAATGTGGCCCAGAGACACCAAAAGGTTGGACACCCCTTTGGGAATTTGGAGGGCATTCAAATTTCCCTCCATCTTCTCTTAATCTGCAGGCTTGATTTGACCCCTGCCTGGAACTTTGAAGGTCCAGCGGTCTGTGTATTTCCACAGTGTCCAAGTGATTCAGATAAGCTTTCAGCCTCCTTCCTGAGTGGTCACGTTGTCAGCTGTGCATCTGACCAGATGCTCCGGGTTCTCTATGAAATGATGAGCTCACTGCTTCACTTAGCAAAACGTTTTTATTCATGACTCCACATGACTCCATTCTCCCTCTCTGTCTCCCTCTCTTTTTCACACAGCAGGTGGAAGGAGGGACCTCAGATATGGAGGCCCCTCAAGAATGGAATTAATCATATTCCCCAGTTCACAGTACGCCATCAGCCTACACATGATTTCTCTTCGTTTTTTCCTCCACTCTCTCCCTGCAGAAGACCCTTCTGTAATGTACTTTATCTCCTTACAATGCACCTCGTACCTGTTTGATTTGCCGTAAAAGAATCCTTCACACACCTTGTATTGGTCGAGTATAGGGGCAGTGTGTTTGTTTTTATGAATGGTATTGCAGGATGGCTGTGTTTGTTAGATGATTCTTCCCAGCCTCTCAGAAGCCCCTGCCTCTCTGGAACTTCTTCCCCTTTCGTCCTAGTTTGGCCCCCGTAGAGCTAAACAGAAACATTTTACCCCTTTCAGCATTCCAAACAGTCCTTCATGGCCCCCGCTTCTGCAGCCTTGACCCGCCCCCCTCCCCCCCCACACACACACGGTGTGGAAGTTTCCTTATTCCTCCTCAGGATTTGGACCCCTCTGGCCCCCATTGGGGGCTGTACTTCTCCACCTCTAGTGACAATCTTGTGTTGGTGGAAGGGCCGGGAGAAGAATATGATACCGTGTGACTGGACCATACATCCCACATGGTAGTGCAAGAAGATTTGGGTGGAACTGTGAGTACAATCGCTCTTGGTTGATAACCCCTGCCCTCACCCCTTTCTTTCCGGTTATGAGAATGGGGGAACCTGGCCTTGGTGAAGTTGGGGCACCTTCAGGCAGGGCATCTCCATCCCCAGTCCGCACTGGGTTCTTTCTGCACTGCCCTGGACCCCCCATGCCCAGACAGTTGTTGACTCCCCCTTCCTTTGACTTGGATGAGAATTTCCTTGGAATGTTGAGGAAGGATTGCAAGCTATGTACAAAATAGGCTGAGTGGGCCCGGCTTGGAGAGCCAAGGGTCTTGCATGCCCATGTGGAATAACCCACCCTCTTCACCCTTCTTTTTTTATCTTTATGAGCACAATTTAGAAATCAACGTTGTGTATTTCTTTATTCCTAAGGTAAAATGCACCTATCCTAAAACTCGCCATTTTAGAGTGACCGATTCAGGGCTATTTGGTATATTCAAGCGTGTGCAGGCATCCCCTCGCTCTAGCTCCAAACATTATCGTGGCCTCAGGAGGAAACCCTGCGCCGTTCCACAGCAGCTCCTGTCCCCCTTCCCCTCCACCTCTGGTGACCACCAGTTGCTGTTCCATCTCTGTGGGTTTGCCTATTGTGGATGTTTCATGTAGACGAGAGCATTCACCCCACTTTGTGTCCGGCTCTTTCAGTGAGCAGTGTCCTTGGGCTTCGTCCGCATTGTAACGCGGACCAGTACTTCATTTTTTCCATGTCTGAGGAACGTTTCATGGCGCACATATACTGTGACCTGTCGGTTGATTCTTCCCTTGGTGGATATTTGGGCTGTTTCCACCGTGTGGCTATCATGACTGAGGCTGGTATGAGCATGTGTATATGTGTGCTTGTTCGAGAACCTGTTTTTAGTTCTCTGGGGCATATACCTAGGAGTAGACATACAGGGTCATATGGTAATTGATTTTTTAGGAACTCCCCCAAAATATATTTCTCTTTTAAATAATGACTTCACTCAGGAAGTTCCCTGCATAGCGAGGGACAGGGAGGCGAGGTGGAAAAGCTCTGGAGACCTGGGTCCTCTCCTGGCTTTTCCGCTAACCAGCTGTGCAACCTGGAGCAAATCGCTTTCCCTTTACGGGTCCTTGTTTCCTCATCTGAAAAGCGTAAAGCTAAATAATTCTTAAATTCTCTTCATCTTTTAAGAGATTATTGGGGCCCAAGCCAAGTGGCTTTGTTGGTCAAGGGTCATCTTGTAAACCAAAAAGGTTGTGGTTTTGATCCCCAGTCGGGGCATATAGAAAACTGGGTTCCAGGGAGATTTGCCAGACATCTAAATATGATTATCTCTATGTTCTTTTTCTACTGTTTTTAAAATGGGAGCTGAAAACACCCTAAATAATTGGAGGTTGTTCCTGCCAATGTGTTTCTAGTTAATGAGTGACTTCTGGCTTCCTTTTCCCACCAGGACTCCCAGAATATGGTATCCTCCTCCTCTCCCATCACCCCTAGCGCTTGGCAGTTCTTTAACAGGACACAGCGCAGCCAAGACTGGAACCATCCGTCCTGTCCTCCCTGGAGGAGTGCTGAGCCTTCCGCCAGGGTGGCTTCTCTCAGCGCTAAGGTTTCAGCAGGGTAACCTGAGTTAGGGTCCAGAAGTGTAGGAGTCAAGGAGAGGAGCAACAGACTTTCTGAGACACTATAAGGACCGTCTTAGAGAGTGAGGAGGAAGAACCAAACACCTCCTGTGATGCCTTTTAGACAGAGGGTACCCACCCCGCCCCCGCACCCGCACCCTTGTGCCCTCCTCTTCCCCAGTGCGGTGTCTGTGTTGGGAAGGAGGCTTTTTCCTCCACTGGTTGCTGTCTTCCCAGTTTGCGGCTCAAGTCCGCATTCTGTGCTCTCCAGTCCCCCCTGGTGGTTTTCTGGGGAAATATGCGGTTTTAAAAACCACACACGACCTCAGTGGTTTATTCCATCAGTCCGTCACTTGTCCATTTTCATCCGTCTATCACATATTTTGGGGGACCTGCTACATTTTAGGCACTTCTGTTAGAGTCTAGGAATAACCAAGACGAGGCACCTCCCCTTTAGAGCCTTTTTATAGGGTGTGCAGAGTGGCTTTTGGAACCAAGTGACCAGTGCTTCAGGAGGGGGCATAGATGGTGGTGTTCAGGAGGACAGACAGGGGCACAGTTCTAATTGGCAAATCCGAATGTCAGCAGTCAGACTCAGAGAGTCTTCTAGACAGACGTTACTCTGCACAGAAGTCAATCAGCATTCCAGAATGTGGTGCACAAAGAGACCTGGTAGAAGCCCTATATTTCTGAGCACAGAACACTGGCTGGGGAGAGGGTGATGAGAGTGACATTGCAGAGGGGCTGTGTCATTCAGGGCCTCTGAGCCATGTCAATGGCTTTAACTTTCAGGCTGTAGTGAGCTAGTGAGTTTGACTATAGTGGTGTAGCGTAGTATTTATATATGCACTTTGGAAGCAACCGCTCTGGTTATGGATGGAGAATGAATCGGAGGGGCAAGGGCAGAAGCAGGAAGACCCCCCAGGTCTCCCTGCAGTAACTGTCATGAAACCAAGGTGAGCAAAACCAAGGTGGGAGCAGTGGGAAGGGAGGGTGTGGATGGAGTCCAGAAATATCCTGAGGTTGGGGCTGGTGCTGGGCCCAGCTTCCAGTCCCAGTCACATCCTGAAATCCGAGTCACAGTCCTCTAGCTTGCCTCCCATCCTGGCATGGGGGCTGCCCCAGCATCCAGGTCTCCAGAAGCATGAGCTTGTCTCCCAGGAGAGGCCCTGGAGCCCGCTCCTCACCCTGGACCCTCCATCAGGATCGGGGGGGTGGGGTGGAGGGTGTACAGAGGAGAGCAGGCTTCCAGTTGCTGCCAGATAAAACAAGAGTAAAAAAAAAACACACACAAAACAAAACAGTGTATCCATTTTGATAGGTGGCGACTAGTCCACAAAAGCTGGAAGAATTCTGGGGAACCTCCTCCTGTCGTCCTGTTTGACTTGACCTGGTGGCAGAACAACAGACTGGACCGTGTTTAGGATGCGTGTTTCGGAAGCTCAGAGATCTCAGAGCTCTCGTTTCAGGGTCAGCTGTAGGCCCTTCTTGACCTTGTCTCTCAGGAGGACCCACCCCGGGCTCCTCGGACCGCCCTTTTTAGCCCCTGTAGGCTCTGGGATGATTTCTTGTGTTTGAGGTATAGACGTGAGGCTCTCATAATGTTGCTCATTCTACCAACCCCCTCGAGTCCCCTTCTCCTGGGCCATCACCGTGGCACTGCCAGGATCTGTAAAGGGACACAACGTACGTCTGCTGCACAAATATCTGCAGAAATCATTCACTTCAAAAAGTCCTTTGGGCAGCTGAGTTTCACCTGCCGAAGCCTGTCCCCAGTGCTGCCACCCCACCCTTCCCCCTTCCCTTTCCTGGGACCAGAGGACATCGGTGTGATCTCACTTCTGCGCCCCTGTCCCAAAGGCACTCCAGCAGGGGCCTGCTCGGCGTGTTCAGAGGAGCTGCGAGATTGGCATATCTGTCCTGGCCACGTACGCGGTGTCTCATTGGTGCCGGGCCTATGGGCCACTGTTTGTTTTCATGGCTGTTCTACCCAGAGTTGCCCCTCCCTCTAGAACAATGATTTTTAACTCAAAGTGGTTTTGTGCTGCAAGGGAAAGTTGGCAATATCTAGAGACAGTTTTGATTGGTGGCAGAAGTGGGTTCTTCTGTCCTCTGGTGGATAGAGGCCAGGATGCTGTTACACACCCTACAATACCCAACACTGTTCCCCACACAAAGATTTGTTGGGTCCCAAATGTCAACAGTGCCAAGGGTAAGAAACCCTCTTTTAGAATATTGGTCTGTGACCCCGGGGACCCTTGCATCTTTCCAACCCTGTAAGATTGCTAGGACAAACCACAAGTTGAAGAAATAACTCACTCACATCTTTCTTTCACAGCTGAGCTCTGTCCAGAGGCCGGGTTAGAGCAGCTGGAGGCAGCGAGACCCCGCGGGCCGGGGAACGGGAGCGGCACCCAGCACTGAGATGGCCAGGCCGCAGCCACCGCCCTGGGTCCATACAGCCTTCCTCCTCTGCTTCCTCGGCCTTGGAGGGGCCATTGAGATTCCTATGGATCGTGAGTTCTGCTCTTTCCTCTTCTATTCTCCTGATTTAGGGCAGAGGACAGTTAAGACCAACTTTCAAAGAATGTTGGGGGAAGGGAAATAGTGGATTCTGGATGCAGAGCTGGGTTTCCCAAAAATGGGAGCAAACAGGTTGGTGCTTTGGAAGATGAGACGTGAGTCTGCAGTAAGGTCTCCCCGCTGTGGCTGAGTGACCTGGGCTGCCGGCAGCCCACTGAGCGGGACCAGAGGGGTACTGTTTGGAAATCTGAGTGTTCTCTGTGGTCTTGACTTGCCTACCAAAGCAGAGTTTCCAGGGACCAAGTGAGTGAATGGTTCTTATTTGCCTTTCTCATTCCTGATCTAGATCCCTCAGGCCCTCGTGTCTGAACTAATCAGAAGGATGGATGGCTGGGAGAGGGTGGCAAGGGATTATTTTGCAAAAGACTGGCTGCATGAAACATTAAATGGAGCCCTGTTACCATGCCGCTGTGGGGGTACCAGGCACGATTCCTGCTGTTTTTGTCGTTCCCACAGTGAAGTGAAATCCATGTCATTCTCTTTCCATGGTGGGGGCATTATTGGGCCACCAGAATCATAAAGTAAGGGGCTTACAATGCTGACCTGACAGATTCTCAGCAGCCACATCTGTGGGTGCCTCCATCGCGGCCCACTGACTGGCAGCCACACACCTTGGCCCTGCATTTCCCCGTGCTCCACCTTTGCCACACTGCTGACACTCCCATCCGGACGTCCTGCCTCCCACTACTGGGAGGTGGGCACACCAGCTCTGTCCCCTGCCCCCTGATTCCAGGAATAGATGGGACTCACATGATGCCAGTGTTGACCTGGGCTCTCTCCAGGTGACAGATGTCCAGGGAGGGGGATGGGTAGGAGAGGTAACACAGCTTCCCAGAAGTCTCCCTGAGCTTTCCAAAGCCAGACCCTGAGGGGTGGAGTTAGCAGAGCTCAGAGAAGAGCTGCAGGTGTCTCAGCCCCCTGCCACCCCACTCCACCAGAAGAGCTGCCCCAGAAAAGTGGGCTCTCCTGGGTGAGAGAAGGCCAGGAGAAACTGCAGGGTAGGCCCAGAAGTGGACAGGCCCCTGCTGCCCTCCCGCTGGCCCAAGTGTGTGAGTGTGTATGTGCACACATACACTCAGACTCTTGGGGAGGGGCCAGGGTTGTGGGAGGAGCTGTTCCAGGGACCATCTGTACTGTGGATTGAAGGAGAGTTTCTTGTGAGCAGGCCCAGGCAGGCTGTGTAATCATAAGGGCCCCCACCCCCGGAGAGGAGGGGGCAGTGGAGGAGACTGGGCGGTCGAGGAAGTGGTAAAGGTTCATCTATTGGAAGAAGAGTTTCACAGGAGAGTGGGGAAGTGACTACCTAGCTTCAGAGCTTCAGAGGACAGGCCAACTCTCTTGTTAGGGGTAATGCAGCTGGTAGCTTAAGTTGAAGCCAGAGGTCATTTATCACTCCAAAAATCTTAGAGTTGTTAAGAATTATGCTAAATCTATTCTGCCTGTGCTCTGTAAGTGGAACAGCAAAGACGGGATGACAGCACATCTCTGTATCTCATGGTTTACTAAATATTTTAAGCCCACCTTTGAGCCCTACTGCTCAGAAGAAAGACTCCTTTCAAAATATCACTGCTCATTGTCAGTGCACCCGGTCACCCAAGAGCTCTGATGGAGATGTACAATGCACTGAATGTCGTTTTCATGCCTGCTAACTCAGCATCCATTCTGCAGTCCAGGGACCAAGGGGTGATTTTTAACTTCAGGTCTTATTATTTAAGAAATATATTTTGTAAGGCTATTGCTGCCATAGCTCAGTGATTCTCTGGTGGATCTGGACAGGAAAAATTGCAGACCGTCTGGAAAGGATTCACCATCCTAAGAGTAATTAAGAACATTCATGATTTATGGGAACAGATCAAAATCTCAACAGGAGTTTGAAAGGAGTTGATTCCAACCCTCTTGGAAGACTTCAATGGAGGGAGTAACTACAAATGTAGTGGAAATAGCAAAGAACTAGAATAGAAGTGGAACCTGAAGGTACTGAATTGCTGCAGTCTTATGATAAAACTAATGAATGAGCAGTTACTTTTTATGGATGAGCGAAGAAGGTGATTTTCTGAGATGGAATCTACTCCTGGTTGACATGGCAACAAAGGAGTCAGAATACGACCGACCAAGACTTCGTTGTTACAGCAGCAGCAGCAGGGCTTGATGGGACTGCCTCCCACTGTGAAAGAAGTTCCACTGAGGGTAGAATGCGGTCAGACAGCATCAGGGCTACAGAGAAATTGCTTGTGACAGGAAGGACGCATCAAAGTGGCAGACTTTTCTGTTGTCTTCTTTAACACATTGCCACGGTCACCCAGCCTTCAGCAACAGCCACCAACATCAAGGCAAGACCCTTAAAGGCTCAAATAATGGTTTGCAATGTTTTTAGCAATACAGTATTTTTAAATTAAGGTATGTACATTGTGTTTAGACATAACGCTACCGCACACTTAATAGACCATAGTATAGTGGAAACATATGTTTTTATATGCACTGGGAGACAAATATTCACACGATTCACTTGATTGCAATGTCGGCTCTTTAGTGGTGGTGAAGAACCGAACCCACAACGTCTCCGAGGTGTGCCTGTAGTGCAGTGGCCATGCTGGAAAGTAGATCCTCAGAACTTATCCTATAGCTGGATGTTTGTGCCTTCTGACCAGTATCCCTCACCCCCAGCCCATGGCAGCCACCATTCTATTCTGTTCTTTGAGTTTGACTTTCTTAGATTCCACTTTCTTAGACTTTCTTTCTCTGCCTGACTTATTATTTCACTTAGCATAATGCCCTAAGGTCCATCTATGTTGTGGCAAAAGGCAGGAAATACTGCGCCCCCTCTTCCTCAAACCATTATTCCCAACAGCCCAGACATGGGAACGGCTAAGATTAGGCACTCTTAACTTTCCCTTTGTGTTGCGAGGAGCCTGGAGGGCTCAGCCCAGAGGCTGCCCTGCCAGGTGTACCTTTCTGCCCCTTTGCCCCTTCGGGGAGCATTATCTGTGTCTGGAGACAGGGCACTGCTCCTGCTCTGGGAAGTTGGGGTGCAGCAGGCCTTCAGGAGCAGAGCCCTGGCTGCTGCACAGTCCCTCATTGAAGTGCCCGGCCTCCAGTCCCCACCGCTTTGCCAGTGGAGTCACACGCACCCACCTCCCCTTCACCAGCCTCAAGGAGAACAATGTGACCTTTGAAGAATGCAAAGAGTCACCTCATCAACCAGAGAGGTTTGCCAAAAAGTGAGTCCGTTGGCAGCTTGCCCCTCTGTCTCCCTCCGCACATCAGGGGACTCAGCAGTTTTCTCCTAGACGCCCACAGAGGAGGGCAGTGGCGTGGGAGAAACTCTTCCTCCTCACTGTCATCCCAAAGAGCGCTGCAGCATGGCCTCAACACTCACACTCACTCCATCCTCCAAAGGATGAGTGGCAGGGGTCCCAGGGTCAGAGTTGGGGAAGGAAAGAGGTGTGCGAATACTGGGCAGCGTCTGCCCTCGCCCCACAGAGCCTGTTGGAAGATTTTTCTCCCTCTTGGAAGCTAAAAGAACAAGTTTACTCTCCACTCTACTTCTGTCACCCAGCAAGTGCCACAGGAGAGAGGGGCAGGTGGTGTGACACAGGATGGGGAACGGGGGTGGTCACAGGACTAGGTGACACCCTCGACCCTAGGCAGACAGTCCCCATTGTCTTCTCCCTATGGCAGCTTGTCTTGGGGGGGGGGGTGTGTTCTGCAATGAATTCCTTGGTAGCACATTGGTGGCTGCAGATGTCATTACGTCTTTAGGCAGGTAGATTCTCCGGACACCCTGGCCTGGTCTCCTTGTGGGGCTCTAACTGCCCTGAGACCCTCCAGGTCTCCCCTCTCACTCACCTTTGTCCAAAATGTGAAGAAGAGTGCCATGGCCCCACCTGGCCCAGGGTGAGTTTGTAGAAAGACCTCTGGACCAGGCAGCAGAAGAGCGGGTTCTTCCTCCAGTTCTGCAGCAGACCTCCTGTGTGATCTTGACCAGGTGACTTCCTCCCCAGGTTTGAGATTCCCCGGACAATGTCTAGGGGTCTTTCCACTGAACCAGCATTTGATTCGGTGGAAGAGAGGTCTGAGGCCCACATGGGCAAAGCAGAGCCTTTGTCAGCCCATCAGGGTGAAGCCAGAGCTGACAACTGTATGTGAGCACCTAGGAGACACCACCTGTATCTGGAAATGAAAAATCGGAGGCTGGGCTGTGGTCAAAGGCAGTGGGTCAAGTGTCAGCCCTTCTTCTCCTGAAAGTGGCCCCTTCCCCAGGCTCCCCAGCCCCATGGGGGAACACACCCTCTAAAACCATCCCCACCGCCTTAGCCTTCACAGCCAGTCCTGTGTGGGTGAAGGTGCTGCCGGTGGGCGGGGCGGGGAGCCTTGGAGCATGTGTTCAGAAGCTGGGGACTTCCGCGTTGCCCCTGGCCGCTGCATCCCTTTTTGTTTCCTACCCTGGGGCCCAAGCAGATGGTAAAGCAGACAGAATTGCTGTGCCCAAGCAGGCCACAGAAACCTGGCCCACTTGAAAGAATTATTTGGAACCTTTTCGTGGGTCTTACTCTCAAGACTTTCACGTCCTGACGGCGCGTCTAGTAGGACACTCACCCTGCCACCCTCCACCTCCCTCCCTGGCGTCTGTCTTCTCTTTCCTGTGACTCTTCATGCAGCTTTTGGTCCTGTCTTACCGCTGCCCCCTCCCTTCCTGAGGGACTGCCCCCTTGCTGAGTCCCCAGTTTCCTCTTCCACATCCCCCCATGGTCAAGTCAGAAAGCTTCAAGGTTACTCTGACTGGCGTGGCTCAGTGGGTTCGAGTATCCTCCTGTAAACCAAAAGGTCGTGGGTTCGGTTCCCAGTCAGAGCACACATGTAGGTTCTGTCCACAGTTGGGGCACGTACAAGAGGCAGCCAGTTAATATTTCTATTTTGCATGAATGTTTCTCTCCCTCTTTTCCCTAACCTTTCCCTTCTCTCTGAAACCAATAACCGTAGCCTTGAGTGAGGATTTAAAAAAGAAAGCAAGGAAGTTTCAAGGTCACCGTGGCTCAACAGCAGCCTCTGCTTCCCCAGGAAGTGTAACTCTGAAAAAGTGAGCCTCAGAGTCGGCACCATGTCCTACATCCACACCAGCATGAAAAAAGAAAAGGCATATTGTTTTCTATTCTAATCATAAGGAAAGAATAGCTTTAAAAGTTATAGCAACAGGTGTTCTGTTTTCTGCAGACACATTTCAACCAGGACCTTGTTCCCACAAGGAACATTCCATCTAAAACCTTGTGTTCAAAGGGTAGTCCCCAGACCACCAGTGTCCGAATCACTCGGCTGCTTGTCACAACTGCAGGGTCTGCCGAGTCAGAACCTGCATTTTAACCACTCCCTTCAGGTGATTCACAAGCTTGTCAAAGTTTGAGTAACATACACACCAGTACACAGGCTCTCAAGTGCAGGCTGGGAATGTGTGTGCCCCGCCCCTTTTGTAAACGCGTGGCAGCAGTGAGGAAAGCAGGTGTTTTCGTGTGTGAAAGAGGACAAGGGGCAGTGGGAGGAGTGAGGGCTGTGGACCTGCTGGGCCCATGGGGGTTTGTCCCGTAGCAGTGGTTCCAGCCCACCCCTTTCTGGCACCTCAGCCTGACACCAAAAAGCATCTAAAGGTGACAGGTGGCATCTCCAGAGCCCAGCCTCTTTTGAGCAGCGTTGCCACTTTTGACATTTGGACTTTCCTGGTGACATCTTCATTTGGTCAGCAGCGGGTCTTTCTGGTCCACTGCATGGTTTGGCGTCTGGGGAAGGCATCGCCTTCTCCACGAAGCTCTTGCTGTGTCCACCCGTCCTCCAGCTTGGCTCTTCCCCCGAGCTCCGCGGCTGGTGGGAGAGAGCCCGTGCACAGTGCGCCTGCAACGAGCCCCTTTCTCCCTCCTCCCTGGGTGCTGGGGCATGAGGACGTGCTGGGCACTGGGTCCTGTGTAATAACTGGTGTCTTCTTTTCTCCCCTTACAATGCTAACCCATCGGAACTAACAGCCAGCATTCAGAATGAGCGTAAGTCCTGGGGGTGGGGGGGACGCCTCTCTGCACTTGTGCCTCTGGGAGGTCAGAGGGCAGGAAGGAGGGGCAGGAGAAGGCCAGGTGAGGACACGGGGGATTCTCAGCCTCTCCGCCCCCATGCTGGGGCCGCTTGACAGCAGGGCCATGTAGTGAGGTTTCTTACCGAACGGGAAGGGCAGAGGCTCAGCCTATGGAAAGGCAGGTGAGTAAGGAGGGCCACTGCTTCCCCATCCTCAGGTGGCTGGCACAGGAGCCCCAGGGGGAAGCACCCTTTGGCCTGCAGATAAGTCCCTGGGAAATTCTCTGGGGACTAAAGCCTCTTTCAGCTCCATCCTCACCACAGTTTGACCGTCTGCTGACCCTCCAGGGCTCAGAACCATCACAGCCCCTAAGTTCTAAAAATCTAGCTGCTTTCTTGTTCCTTTACTCGTTCAACAAACATTTATTAATAACTACTGTGCTCTGGACATTGTACGAAGCGGTGGACATAGCAGTGGGTCGGACAGAAACCTGGCCTTCAGCTTCTCGCAGGGGCACCTTGACCTTCTACGGCGATTCTTCTTAACGCTCGGTCCGTGGCACGCACCCCTTCCCTGTGGTCTCTAGCATGGGGCACTGCCCGCCCCCTGCTCGCCTGCTTCTCTGGAGGCCCCCAAAGCTGGCATTTCAGCCACTCTTCCGGCCGGGGCTCCGGGCCGGTGCCCGCAGCCCTGACTGCCCACTGCCCGCTCTGTTGCAGTGCCCCAGCCCCCGACCATCACCAAGCAGTCGGTGAAGGACCACATTGTGGACCCTCGCGACAACATCCTGATCGAGTGTGAAGCAAAAGGGAACCCTGCCCCCAGGTGAGTGCACCGGCAGAAAGTCCAAGCTGGGCAGGGGAAGGGGGCCGACCAGAAGGAGCTGAAACTACTCCCTTGCCCTGGGCCCGATGGTCGTTGAGGCCCCTGAGAAATTAAATTTATCCATTCAGCCCCCACTAGGTAGAAAGTACAATTTGGAAAATTAGGTAATTTAGCTGATGAGGGAACTGGGTACCTCGGGACTTAAGAGGCTTAAGGTCACTCCAGAAAGCCAGGACCAGATACTGTTTTCTGACTTTTAGTATAGCACTGCCTTATGTTCCCGTCATTCCCCACGCCTAGCTTCTAGGAAGGCCCTCTCCCTGGCTAATCTGAGTCTTTCACTCCGGGCACATCCGCATCACAGGGGCTCCAGCAGGCACGAGCTGAAAGCCCGCTGTGCACCAGGCTCTGTGCTAGTTGTTCCTCACGCTGTTCGTTCAGCCACCTCACTGCTCTTTGGGGAAGATGTGCAAGGAAATGCAGGCACAGAGATACTTAGCACCTTTTCCAAGGTCACTCAGCTTGAGAGTGTCGGAGGCTGGATTTGAACCCAGGCCTGGGACACCCCAGGCCAGGTTTGTTTCTGCTGGTGAGCATTGGCAATATGGAGGTGGTAATGCTATCCTCCTTCCCCCGTCTTTAAAGCAGCCACCACAGGCTGGACTTTTCAGGAGACTCATGCCCAGTTCAGACCCAGGCGTGACAAGATCCCATGTAAGGGGACATCTCGGCAGGAGAAAGGAGGCGAAGTGAAGCCCCGGGGGTGTGACAGCTGCCTTCTGCCCTGCCCCCCCCCACCACGGTTTGCTTGACCCCGTGTGACTCTAAGCTGTGAGCCTAGAACAAGCAGAGCCTCCCTTATCCATGGTGGGGGAAGCAGGAGTCGCCCTGAAGGGTCGGGCAGGGCTCGGGTGACCTTGCTTCTGAGGTTTAGGCTTTTCCCCCGTGGTTCCTCTGTGGGGACGATGCACCTATGGCGCTGGGCAGCCGCTCCTGCCCCTGCTTCTCTGAAGGTTGTACCCAGAGCAGCTACAGGCGCACACGCCCCCAGGAGAAGCAGAGGGACACGTTAGTCCCTTCCCCTGGGAGCTCAGGTTTAAGAAGGCTGCTTTTTATTTTCAAAGCTGCCCCTTCTGGGCTCCGTAATGTGTCTCCGCTGCCTTACAGCCTCCACCCGGGTCACTGGGCAGGGGCACAGACAACCTGAACCCCACTCCACTTTGGCTTTGGAGTCGATTATCAAACGAGGAGGCAGGAGGCGCAGAGCCAGCTTCTCGATGTGTGTGGGTGGGGTGAAATATGAACTTGCGTTGGTATTCCTGGTTGGAGGTTGGGAATGCCGTGACGTGGAAGCAGCAGCTGACTGGATTTGAAAAAATCAAAACCACTGTCTACCCGTCCAAAGAACATCACCCCCAGGGGCTACTGGGGTGTCTGTCATGTGAAACCCTGACTCCCAGCCTTGGTTGGACCAAAGTGCTCTCAGGGACCTGCCCCTGGAGATTCACAGGGTTGGGACTGGGGACACTATGTTCAGGATTCCAGGAGGCTCTGCCACTCAGTCGGGCTGGGGCCCATTGATACGAAGGTGTGGTTTTGTGACCGAGTCCGGGTAGGGCCCTGAGATTGTCACCTGGAGCCCGGAACCCACCCTGTTACTGTTTGTTGCCCCTGCCCTCCCCCACCTCTTCCCACTGTCCACAGCTTCCACTGGACTCGCAACAGCAGGTTCTTCAATGTTGCCAAGGACCCCCGCGTGTCAATGAGGAGGAGGTCTGGCACCCTGGTGATTGACTTCCGAAGTGGTGGGCGGCCGGAGGAGTACGAGGGGGAATACCAGTGCTTTGCCCGCAACAAATTTGGCACAGCCCTGTCCAATAGGATCCGCCTGCAGGTGTCCAGTGAGTAGCGTGGGGCAGGGCGAGATGCCCTGCTCCTGGGTACACGGAGGGGAGGGCATGCAGGGTCATTCTAGAAGGACCACCCTGTCCTGGCCTGTTTGTGCTTTGGGGCCCCGCATGTCCTGCTTGCTTTTCTGCCTCTGAGCACGGCACATCAAGAAGATTTCTTGAAAAGGAAGTGTCCCAACCAGAGTCTTGACCAGCATTCCACTGGGCACAGGAGGAGGGAAGGAGAGGAGTCTTTGAAGATGTGCACCCACTCAGACAAGAGGCCTCCATCCTCTGCCTGCTTGGACCCTTGGGCCCCGACCCCCTCTCCTGTCTCGCTTGTTCTCCTTTGTCCCCTCCCGCTCCTCACCGCCTACCTCTAACCGCACTCCTTGCCCCAGCCCCAGCCCCAGCCCCGACTCTCATTTCATGTTCTTCCTTGTTTCTTCCCAGAATCTCCCCTGTGGCCTAAGGAAAATCTGGACCCAGTGGTGGTTCAAGAAGGTGCCCCCTTGACACTCCAGTGCAACCCCCCTCCTGGACTGCCATCCCCAGTCATCTTCTGGATGAGCAGCTGTAAGTCTTGGGGACCTGGTGTTTTATGTCTGTTTAATCTTAGGGAGCGGGGTGGGTGTGTTAAATGGGGGGAGAGCCCGCCCAAGGCTAGAAGACCTTAACTCGTGAGAAGCAGATGGAAGGTGTCCGCGTGGCTAAGGACAGGCTCTGTAGAGAGAGGGCTGCTTGCCTTCATTTCCTAAGCCCAGCTGCCATTAGCTGTGTGATCTTAAGCAAGTTGCTTAACAGCTCTGGAGCTCAGCTTCCTCTTCTTGAAAAATGGGGATGATACTTACCTAATAGAATTATTAAGGATAAATAAATTAATATGTCCAAGGTACGTGTGACAGTGCTAGACACACAGTATGTGTTCAGTAATATTTGTGAAGACGAAGAGCAAGAGAAAAAGGAACAGGGAGGAAGAGGACAGACCGTGTTTTTCAGGCCAGTTGGAGGCAGGTTGGTACCAAGCCTCTTTTATTTAATTCTCGGTTTGGTCTGGAGTCTCTCGGTCAGGACAGACTGGGGTACGAGAGAATGCAGCTTCTGATGACGGAGTGATGGTGAGACAGGATGTTGGCAGCAGGGGGACCGAGTACCATCCTTTGAAGCTGTTCTAGCTCAGTTTGGGGAGGAGGCTTATTTAACCACTCTGGGCCTCAGTTTCCCAATGTTTCTTCCTCTGTTTTCAGTCACACTGCAGGGGGCGCATGATGAAGGTGAATACAGGACCGCTCTTTCTCTTCCCAGCTTCTTGCCCCTCCTCCTTCCCTCCGTCCCTGTGTGAGCGTCCATCTGTCAGTCCGTAGCCCTTCCTGCCCATCATCTGTCAGTTTCTCTATTCCTGAATTCCTACCGGCCTGCTTCCAAAAGAGACTGCCTCGTCGCTTGTGCACGTGGTTGTTTTGCAGAGCGAGAGTGGCTTTATGCCCAGTCATTGTCCTTCTCTTTCCTCAGCACATGTGGAGGGAAGGCTGCCTGGCCACAGGCGGGGTGCTGGTCTGTTAGCTAGCAGTTCAGTCCCTCCTCTCTCGTCCCCTGCATCACACTTGTCACACTGCATCACACTCTTACTTCCCGCGCAGGTCTCATGACCTTCTTTCTCTGTCCATCCTCGCCGACGTCGCCCCAGCACAGGCCACCATCAGCAATTCCCTGGGTTACAATAACTACCCATAACTGGCCTTTCCAGTCTTTCTAAAAACATGAGTTCATATGCTCAAAACCTTTCACTGGATCCTTCGTCACCTCGGGCGGGGTCTGGACTCCTGTCCCCGGCACACAGCTCCCTCCCCCACCTGGTCCCTTCTGCCTCTCCAGCCCTTCTCCTGCCCATGCCCACCAACCCCCACCCCCCTTCTCAGGTGCTCTCACTTTTAACACACCCCGCTGCTGCTGCATTGGACCCTCTTAGCTCCTTTCTCTTCTGCCATGTAAACATCACACAGTCTTCAAGCCTCCTTTTCCCAACTCATCCCTTCTTGTCTGGGCTTCCCACTCATCACACTGCATTGCAATTATTTATTTATTCGTTGTCTCTTCTCCTGGACCTTAGGTTCTTTGATGGCAGGAGCCGTCTTTCTCACTGGTCTCTCTTTCTAGCACAGGGCTTGCACATAGGAAGCCTACAGGAAGTCTTCGATACATGGTTTGCAGAGCCGGCCAGCCCATTGTCGGGAACTCGGCATCATTAACCTTGTGCTAAAGAAATGGTGACCTAACACTCGCGGAGGATAGGAAAGAGTTTGCGATGAGTAGTCAGCCTTAGAAATATGCTTTTACAAACCAGAGCACCTGGAAACCTGGCCATTGGCATTCCCATTAGATACAGTGCTTGAAAAAATACTGATAAAGTAGCCAGATTTCTCAGCCACTTCTGTGAGGTCATTAATTCAAAGAAACACACATTTTCATGTTTTCCCATCTCTAAAATTGAAAGGCATCTTAAAACCAATGGCATGCAGTGTTAGTTGATATGTGTCTTACAATTGTATTTTTTCTTTCTTGGGGCTGGAGTGGAGGGTAAAGAATAAAACAAGTGAATTTGGCTCCTGATTTGGGAGCATCTGAAGGATCGTGTCCCCTCCTTCTGGCCTCTGGGTTGTTTTTGTGGCGTGAATGGGAGGTAGAAGTGTTTGGTCTTAGGGCATGGGCGTGGTAGGTGAGCAGGTTGGAGCTGAATCCTACTCTCACTCACCGCTTTTGCAGCTACAACAGTTAAGTCCTCTTGTTTCTTATCTATAAAGCAGGAATCAGCCCCACCTCAGAGTTGAGAGTCAGATTAGATTGAATGACTCCACTGGAACTCCTGGCCCCCTGCAGGGCCTCACTGGCGGGGAACATCATGATTTCTGTTACTGTTACCATTAGGCTAACCTCCTACTGCACCTCTGCTTCCTTATAGCCATGGAGCCCATCACCCAAGATAAGCGGGTCTCCCAGGGCCATAACGGGGACCTGTATTTCTCTAACGTAATGGTGCAGGACATGCAGACCGACTACAGCTGCAACGCTCGATTCCACTTTACCCACACCATCCAGCAGAAGAACCCGTTCACCCTCAAGGTCCTCACCAGTAAGTGCAGGCCCCTGCCTGGGGCCCGGGCAGCAGCCCACCCAGTCTGAGCAGCCCCAGCAACCCCGGGGCTGGGGGGGGGGACTCATCCCCAAGGCTGACCTAGAAGTCCTACAGCTCACTGCCTGAGCTACTTCACCTTCTCTTAAACATCTCCGGATTCCGCAGCCCTGAGTTCAGCTCGGTCCTGCTCTAAGTCCGTGCTTCTCAGACTCTGTGGGAATCAGACTCACCTGGAGCCCTTGGCCCCAGGCCCGTCCCAGCCCTGTTCTGCCTCATTAGCTCCCAGGGGATTTGGACACACCTCACAATCCGAGAAGCGTTGCTTCAGGTGGTCATCAGCATCCTCTCACGTACTCAGCTTGATTTATTTTATTTCTACCCATTGTTTGGTTATCTCTATTCCTAGAATAAAGCCACAGCACAGGATGTCTAACTTGGTGGGTATACCTAACTGAATCACATCTGCTTCTGTGATATGAATCAGTGGGACTGTAACTGAATTGCTGTGTTTGCAGGTTGCAGGTTTATGTTTAGTTTTGTTTCCGTTTTTACTCCCTGATTCTGTTTGGCACCAAAGCAGGCCAGCATTTCCTGACCCACTGTAGCACTGGTGGCCCTCCACAGAGGAGAGAGAAGCTACTCAGTTCAGAGTCACACTTCTTGCCAGGGACCTGCCAGCCTGAAGCCTTGGCTGCAAAGTCCTTGGCCTGCTCAGGACACTGAAAGTGGCCCTGTTGATGTCCCCATGGACTTATAGAATGCCTTCCATGGCGGCGCCTCCTCTCCAAAGACCTTAGTCTGTCCGACTCAGCTGTGAGTGGTGTTCCCAGTACTGCGGACGGGGCGATTGTGAGGGAGGCCAGGCAGAGGGCACCACATGGGCTCTAGCAGCTTCTGCAGTTGGGAGAAAAGAGGCTGAACCTGGCTTCCTGGAGCCCACATGGACAGGTGGTCGACAGTGCCTCCTGGGGGGGATGGGCAGGGGTGAGACTGGGGAGGACTGCTCACTCAGGACAAGTGGGGGCCGACCCCCTCATGCCCTCCTTTCCTCATCAGCCCCTCCCCCAACGGAGAGGGGCAGGCAGTGCTGAGAGTCAGCCCAGCCCCCCTCTCCTCCCAGCGTGGCATCGCGGTGGTCTGGAAGAAGCAGTTTCCCCTTCTCCTGCTGGGGCTTTTTTTCCCTTTCTCTTCTTTTCTTCCCTTTTCTTTTTCACTTCCTTCTTCTCTCTCTCTCTCTTTCTTTCTTTCTTTTCCTCTCTCTCTCTCTCTTTTTCTCTCTCTGTCTTTGACCCCATTTTACCTGCCTCCGATCCTCCCCCTCCTGCCTCTGCAGGTCCCCACACGCTATTCTGAGCTGTCATAATTTGATGACCATCAGGACGGCCAGAAATCCAGGGACGAGCCCTGAATGTTCCTGGCAGGGTCACCTGGCCCCCGTCTGCTTGCTGCCCCCTTCCTGGCTTTCTTTTTCCAGGCCTAGGCCCAGAGAGGAGCCCTGGAGAGGAAGGCAGGGCCGTCCGAGGTGTCTCCCCAGTGCATATCAGCGTGACTGCCTGCCAGCTGGCTGAGCTGGGGGGGGGGGGGCCTTAGAGTGGCCTTTGGAACCAAAACAGGGCTGGCAGTGTTAGGCAGTACAGGGGAAGGAGTGGCAAGAGCAAGATGCTCCCTGAGCGGATCGCTGGACAGCCTGCAGTGCCGTCACCTGGGCCCCTTTCTCCCTGCCCGGCGGATGCTCGAGGTCAGCCTGCTGTTTGAAGACCGAGACAGGTGGCCCCTGTGGTTTGGGGCAGAGCCTCCACTGTCCCACAGGTAGACTCGGGAGATGGAGGTGGTGAAGAGTCATCCTCTGTGGATTAAGCAGTTAGAAATTTCAGCCACGTTTAGAAGCTGTACTTTCCGGAAACATTCTTTTCACTCAAGTGAGGATGTGTGTCTCTGCCCCATTTCTGGGTTCTCTGTGCCACTGAAAACCCCTCCAGATGCTGAGGAGCCCTGGGTGCTGTGAACAGAACCCCGCTGGCTCCCTGGAGTCTCCCCAGGGCAGCTTTGGCCGGGAGCAAGTCCTGGGCATCTGTGCTGGCCCACACTGGGGCACAGCCGTGCTCTCTCCACTGCCCTGCCTGGAAGGGCCCCGGTTGTTCTCATACCTTCAGAGCCAGGCCTGCGGGTGGCGGTCACAACGGCCCAGTTGGGACAGCTTCAAAGACTCAGGTCTCACCAGGGGTTTCTGTCCCAGTTGGTCTGTTGGGGAAGAAATAAACCTCATCACAGTCGATTTTCTGTTACCTGCATGAAGGAAGGGTTATCTAACACACAACAGTATGCAATCTAAAAGCATCTTTTAAATTTGTTTTGAGCCCTGGCTGGTTTGGCTCAATTCGTTGGAGCATCATCCCATAACCGAAAGGTTGCAGGTTCAATTCCCAGTCAGGGCACGTACCCAGGCTACAGATTCGATCCCTGGTCTGGGTCCACATAGGAGGCAACCAGTCAATGCTTCTCTCTGACACTGATGTTTCTCTTTCTCCCCCTTCCTCCCTCTGTTCCTCTCTCTCTAAAAGCAGTGGGAAAAAATGTCCTCAGGTGATGATTACAAAATAAAATAAATTAAATTAAATTTGCTTGGGGACGCAGTCAAAGACAAACAGTGGAGCCAGGCTACAAAGACGCGCCGTCCCCCTTGCCCATGCCAGAGCAGGCCCCTGCCCCTCCTGCTGCCTCTGCCACAGAGGGGCAGTTGGCAGGGAGGGAGGCGGGGTCTCCCTGAAGACACAAAGGAGCACTAACCCTGCTTCCTGCTAATGCCTGTTGTCTAGGCAACACTCTCCCAGGAGTCCAAAAGGTCTCCCTGCATTTCTCAGTGGTGCTCCAGAATCCACAGACTGTGAGGTGCAGGCTGAGCTCGGGTCACTTCTCTGGATGGGGGCATGACACAAGGCCTGTCAGCTGTGTGTGTCCCTGCCCTCCCCCAGGAGAGGACCATTACCCCCCCACCCCCGAGTCCAGCCACAGCCCTGCCCACCCCTTGCCGCTCAGCCTCTTCCTTCTCTGCCAGTCCCACCCTTGGCTCCAGATAAGCCCAAGCTGACTTCCCAAACACAGGCTGGGTCTTTTACCACAAGCCCTATCTTAAAGGTCAGTTCCAAATACTGAAATCTTCCTCCTGGGTGTTAGCAGATTTGGGATGCAGTGCAACACAGTCCCAGAAAAGAGCTCAGTCCCCACGACCAGTTTTAACGGGATTGGCGCTGTCTCATATATGCCAGTATTGTGGTGCAGCCCCTCAGCTTCCAGTCAGCCACCCCACCCCCACCCTTGCTGGTACTGTCAGAACTTGAACCCAGTGGCTGGAGGGGACCGGTGGTAGAAGAGTGAAAGCAACTGAAGCATCTTGGTACAATTATGTGCCCTATTTCAAAACCTCTTTCTCACTGGAGGCTAAATGCCCAAGGGCTTTAATTACTGAATGTTGGAGCCGAGGCCCATGGTCTTGCTCCTTAAGGAATATCTTCACCCCGAGGCCATCTAGAGAGTTCTGGATCTCCAGCTTAGTCAGCAGGCCATTCCCAGCGCAGAAATCAAGCACACTTCTCTCCCTTTGCCTCTCTTTCCCTCTCCCCCACCCAAACTTCCTCTGATCCTGAAACCTGAACCTCAGCCTAGCTCTCCTGCCTCCCTGGACCGCTTCTAGCCTCTGCAGAAGGAGGCCCTTCTGCCAACAGATGCATCTTGGTGACCAGGTGGTGCCCACAGATCAGGTCAGGGGTGCTTGTCACTGGTCAGCACACACTTGTTGGGCGCTGCCAGGGGTCCGCCTCTCCCACTCTGTCTATGAACTGTTTCTCTCCCCACGTCTCCTCTCGCCCCCACCCCTTGCAACTCAGCTTCTGCTCAGGCAGGACTTTGCTCTTTCCCCAGGGCCCACTAACACTCCTTTCTCTTTAGTGCCCCGAGAGCTGGCTGATCCAGACACCTGGGAACTGTGACTTTGATGAGAAGCAGTTGTTCATAAGACTGCTACAGGGTACTACTAATCCTTACCTCATTTGTTTGAAAATATAGTGGGACCAAGCAATTAAGAGTCAAGCCTAATTGTTTTGATTACAAAGAGACTTATTATGGCCTTCTTTTGCAGGATTTAACCTTTTTTTCCTTTGGGGGGCTGTTTTGTGTTGCTTGTTCTTCACCAAGCATATTTCCTTTCCAAACACACCATGTCTTTCCTTTGCAAAAGGCCACTGGTGCTCTCCCCGGTTGTTTTCGTGGCTTCGCGTTTCTGTTTGTTCTCTCCCCGTTGACGCCTCTGTGCCCTCCCGCAGCCCCCTGTTTGCTCACCCTCTTTTGTTTATTGCAGACCACCCCTATAATGACTCAAGAAACCACCCTGACATGTACAGTGGTGAGTCGCTGTGGTAACCTTGGGAGTAACCTTGCCTGTCCTAACCCAAGTTTGCATAACTTGACTGATACCATGTCATTAACTCATGCTGAGGGGCAGGGTTGACAGTTGGCCAGGCCAGGGTGCCAAGGTGCCAGCTTGCCAGGAAAACAGTGGCCATTTGGGGAGTTCGAGGTGGCTTATGGGGTGGTGTGGTCTCCTCATGTTTGCAGGCCTCCAGTTGCTGAATCCTGGACAAGTTGGTTGAACCAGGGCAGGACTTCAAAAGAGTTTTGTGGAGGGTTCATTAGGAACCTAGGAGTTGGTGGTAGGTGAATAGAGAGTGTCTGGGCACGGGTGAGGAGGAAACACTATTCTGATGCTATTTGTGGTTTAAAGACCACAGAAAGCTTTGTAGTGTGTGTTTCATTAACTCTTAAGTGTCTCGATGTGAATCGCCTGCGTTGCTGTCTAGCCACAGCTGCTGGGGACACCACGTCACAGGTCTCTTGTCCCTTTAAAAATCTACCTGGGAAATAAGAGTGAGAGTTCACTTTGAGTTTTTTTCCAAGGTGAGTTATAAATGAAATTGTCTCTCTCTCCCCTTCTTCTCTCTCTCTCTCAAATCAATCATTTTTTTCAAAGACTATAAACGAAGCTGTACCATCCCCTGGGCCCCTCTCTCCTTTGGGAGTGCCCGCAAACCCGGTGCCCACCAGTGCCCATGTTTGCAAGTCATGGAGCGGTTTCCATGAGGCATATTTCTAACTCATCACACGACTGGCCGCTCAAGCTGATTAGTAGAGTAATTGGCTATTTCTACACCTGAGTTAATCCCACCACGGCTCGAGAATGTCTTGTTTTCCCTGGGCAGTCATAGGAATCATCATTTTCTGGCTCTGGCAAGACAGCTGGTCCCCATCAGCAGTTATGCCTCCAACGCCAGGCTCTGAGTCCCCAGGGGGGTCGCTGTGGGCTCATCAAGATAGGAAGTGTCTGCATCGTGATGTGCTAATATAAACAATGATCAGCGTCTGGAGTGGGGGATGGGAAGAGAGCTTGAGAGCCACAGAGACAGGCCGGCAAAGGCTCACACCTGCCACCAAGCAGCTAGAGCCACACAGAGATCCTGCCAAAGAGATTTACTGTCTGAGGAAGCAGGAGGCCCTTTTTGGATTCTGGGCATTGTTTGTTTTCAAAATAATGGGGCCAGTTGTGTCAAGAGCCCCAGCACACTGGTGTGGAATGTGCTTTTTTTTCTAAGTTGGATTCCAGGTAACCTATTAGAGAGGTATTCTTAAAGCTGGTCCCAGCTCCTCACTTTGTAAAAGAAAAACCATTCAGGGCATGCGCACATAGAGTTGTTTTATCAATGGAATAGGTTTGAGTGATTCCAACCCCTTAAACCAGTTTGTGACCAGTGATAGGTACTGTAACAAGGGAGTAAGTGGGGGTTGTAAGAACCATCGAGGGCTATGAAACCAAGCAAAACTCACAAGTGCTCACATTGTCACAGGAAAGGGACCTGGCCAGAGCGGGTCTGCCTCAGGCTGGCCTGTAGTGTGTGGGTTCTTGACTTTGTGCAGGAAAGATTTCACAAGTCCAAGTGATTTTGAGAGTACTTTGTTAAGGCTGGGGGCAGTGAAACAAGGACTCAGCGGTAGAAGAAGCAAAGGAGACAGACTAGACGGGGCCGCTTTGGCTCCCTAGAGACGTTATAGGAAAGGGGTGAGCCAAGGCGGGGCTGCTGTCAGCTCTCTGGAGAGCCAGAGAAAAGTGGGGCTTGGAGACAAATTCAGGGGTTAGCCCAGGGCTGCCCACTGCTCTCCTGATTGCAAGTCTCTTGGGGATACTTAGAGTTTACGAGAAAGATAATTCACTCAAAAAGGAGATTCAAGCGAGTGTGTCCCAAGGAGAGTGTAATCTGACTTCTTTGTCTTGAGGCATTTTATCTGCTTTCCAAAGTCGGGATTTTAAGGAAGGTCTCAGGGGAGGATCTTAATATTCATCAGGATATTCATCAGTTTTCAGGAGTGCCCTTTCAGGGTCGTGGTCTCCACTGATTGGTCAGCTCCGAGGCTGGGCATCCTCAGTCACTGCACCTGGCCTTGGCATGGGGTTCCAGGTTTGATCAGGTGTCGGGTGGACACCAGCCCTGACAGGGAGAATGAGAGAAGCATCAGCAGGCTGGACAGGCTCTCCGGGGTCCCGCCTCCGAGCCACAGGGAGGGTGTCCTCTGACATCCTTGGAAACTGGATCTTCTACCATATAGAGTCTCATGGAGTCTCACATAGTAATCACCTTTGTCTCAGAGTCTTCCTGGGTCTACTTCTCCAAGGAAAGGAATCAGCCGCCCTTCCTTGGAAGAAGTGGGTACCAAAGGCACCACCTGGATTATCCTTCACAGATCGGTACCTGAATCCCCCTGCTGCGGCTGACCATGTCTGTCCACAGCCTCCCTTTGGGTCCCGCCTTCCAGTCCCCAAATGGTATCACATGTCACCCTGACTCCTCTTTAAGCCTTTTGTGGCCTTAAGAATCCAGTTGAGATGCCTTTGGAGCCTCTTAGCTCCCAATCCAGATTCTTTTTTGTCAGCCTGGGCCTGAGTTTATTTAACAGTCACTGAGGAGAGATGGAATCTTATCTTGAGACAGTGAGAACAATACTGGAAGAGTTTCCCCATTATAACTCACTAAGACAAAAATATCTTTCTCTTTATCTCTTTGCCCTTGGATTTTTTGTTTGTCTGAAAATGAAACATACTCCCAAAGCTGTGTGGATAAGGGAAGTATCCACCTTTAAAGAGAGAGGCAATATAGAATAGATATTACAACTCAAGCTTTGGTGCTAAAAGGTCCAGAATCCAAAATTAACTCCTTGTGACCTTGGCAAGTCTGTTGACTTCACTGAGCCTGTTTGCTCTGCTGGAAGTGGGGGTGATACCCCCTGGTTTGTCGTGAGGATTGAACGTGATGTTGGAGATGGAGTGGAGCTGTCAGCACAGTGCCTGGTCCACGGTGAATGCCTGCTAGGTGGTGGCCCCGATGATTACCTCTGACTTTGAGGATGTTCTTCCCTACATTTTTGAGCTTTGGCTCGTGTCCCAGTAGCTTCTTCCCTTTCAGGGTCATCCTGTGCTTGCCAGCCCACATCTGCACATGAGGCATTGCTATAACCTGTTTATAATCACAGCTACAGCATGTCAGGGGTCCGACAGCGGGCCCGTGCTCGCTTCACCTTCCCACACTGAATGCTTCGCTGGTCACGTGTGCTGTTAGTGCTGTGCGCTATGGTGTCAGTTAATGTCCACAGGGTCACAGATTGGTCCCTGCAGACTGTGCCCCTGTGGAAAGGAGTGTGCCAACGGAGCTGGGAGCTCTTCTACATAATCCTAGGGTTCCTGGCTCTCAACAGATTCACCAGCCTGACACCAGGGCCTCCTGCTCAAAATCTTCCTCTCTTCATGGTGCCCTTGACCTTGTGTTGTCTAACCGTTTTGGTAATTCCATGACGACAGGTGGGAGGAAGCTGCTGCTTTGGTGTCAGGCTTCCTTGGTACTGAGAGCCGGATGCTATAAGAGTTATAGATGTATGGATGGTAACCAATTAACCACATAATGGATTAACCCTTTAGTGGCCACTGTTGTATATGTGTGTGCTGATGGGACAGATGAGGACATCTGCAGAAGGAGAAATAACATGGGGCGGGGGTAAGCTGTTGCCCTCTTTTGTTCTTTTCTCCCCTTGAATTCATTCATCCCACAAACGTTTTTAACACTCGCCATGCGCCATGCATTGTGCCAGCAGCCCACCGTGGCATGCGTTTCATCACTTCCTCCCCCGACTGAAGGATGGAACAGATGCAAACTCTAGGACATGCACTCCCCGATGGCTGATGGAGAGAAGCTGAGTGAATGCCCCTAGGACAGGACCCCGCTGATCCAGCCAGGCACCAGCTGGTCCAGCTCCTGTAGGAGACACCAGTGTCACAGAGACAGAGGTCCCCCTGCCACCCTCTCCTCTCCTCTATCCATTAACAGCCTCCACCCAGAAAAACGCTTTTGTTCTCCCCACAGGCATTCTGCTGAGGGCTCCTAGCCCAGGGCTCTGCCTTCCTCCCACCTCTCACCTCTCCATGAAGCCCATGAGTAGGCTCAGCTCACATGTTCATTATTTACTCCTCTCATTTACAATCACACACTTTTGGGCATGGGTGCCTCTTCCAGTCTCCCTGTGCTTTGGGCTGCTGGTTGGAAACTCCTCGGTCCTCTCCCATCCGTCATATCCATTTCCACAGAACTGTACAAAGAGCTGGGAGGGAGCTGGGAGGTTCAGGTGGGTGGGCTCCATTCAGCTGTGGGTGCCTGGACTTGCAGGACCCCTTCTGCTAGGAAACAGCCACCCTGGCAGTGTCGATCTCTGTGGGCCACCTGCTTCGAAACCTGTGTGCATGTCATTAACTTCAGAGCCCATGTCTGCTCCAGCCTAGTTGAATTGTAGATTACCTCCTGCATCTTGGCTGCTACTTGCCTCTCACCACACCCCCCCCCACATTGTCTCACATCCAATTAACACCCTCCTCCCAGCCCCCTTCCAAAGTCATTACTGAAGCGGCAGAATGGTCTTGGCCCCAGAAGTGATTTCCTGTCATCTCTGCTCATTAATTCTCTCCATGTCTTTGTAAACCACTAATAACACTCCCGCAGCCCTGACTGTTCACCTGGGTCTCTGTGGCTTCATCTCAAATTCTCGTCTCCAGGGCTTCCAAGGGCAGGTTTCCTGTCCCGTGGCCCCAGTACGTGCAGTGCCTTCTTTCTTCCACCGCTGCCGAGATGGCCTCCCCAGGGGCCACCCAATTGGCCTCAGGGGGTCCCAACCAAGATGCTCAGGGAATAAGCCCCTCGGTGCTCAGGCAGCCCCATCCCCCACTCCAGGGAGCCGAGGGAAGCTGGGCACCTCTTGGCAAGTCCTTTCAGAACTTAGAGCCGCTCACACACATGCGCCAGTGGGGCCCAGAAGCCCCGAGCTTCCTAACACACTCTCTTAATGATTCCCAGCCCTGGGGTGGTTCTGGCTGGGAGGGCCCAGGCCATCGTGCCTTTGAGGTGAGGGGGGAGCAGAGGCACGATGACATTGCTTTCCAACCTGACAGCTTTGGCCTAGCTGAGTCAGCCCCCAAAGCAGGAGGCTCATGTCAGCTTGTTCTGACCTATTTCAGCCCGAGGAGTCGCAGAAAGAACCCCCAGCTTCATGTACCCCTTGGGCACTGCGAGCAGTCAGATGGTGCTCCGCGGCATGGACCTCCTGCTGGAGTGCATCGCCTCTGGGGTGTATGTACCATCTCACCCCACTTCTGGCCATGCAGGAGGCTGGGGAGGGAGTTTGTGCATGCTCTGTTTTGCCACATTTACGGGTACAAAAATAGAAGCAGACAGCCCTTAGTGAGGACTCTGCAAATCATAGTCACCTCCATGCCATCCTGGCTGCCTCTCTTTCAGATAAGGAGGAAAGGAGATGGGTGGGCATCCTGTACATGTGTTAGAACCCTGTGTGACCTTAGATAAGTCACTCAGATGCTCTGCGCTGTGCTGTGCAGCCCCTCTGGATAGGAGAGGTCAGCTGTCTGAGGACAGACATGTACCCTCTGGGCCCAAGCACAGTTTAAGGACACCTGGGTGTCCTGGGCTCCATTGAAGAACAGTTTGTAAATACATCCTTGTTTCCTGCTTGGTCCCTCTCCTAGCCCAACACCAGACATCGCATGGTACAAGAAAGGTGGGGACCTCCCATCTCACAAGGCCAAGTTTGAGAACTTTAACAAGGCTCTGCGAATCACCAACGTCTCCGAGGAGGACTCTGGGGAATATTTCTGTCTGGCGTCCAACAAGATGGGCAGCATCCGGCACACGATCTCGGTGAGAGTAAAGGGTACGTTGTGTGTATTTCTCATTACGATGATTTTGCCGGCCCTAAAGCTGTGACCACCCTTTCCTCTGAGGATGGTTGGGGGCAAGGTGAGTGGAGGATACTTTCAACCCACTGGTTAGTGGCAATAGTGACCTCTCTGGGATGGTGTCACCCCTGGGGGGGAGGGGTGTGTGTGTGTGTTGGGTGTTAAGGGAAGAAGATCTACCCTGATTGCTGTCCAACTCTCCTGGGCTGCTCAGCAGGTGGATCTCATGGTTTGTTGGAGCCACGCCCGGCGCCTTCTCTTTGTTCATTCTGCCTTCCTGTTCGTGGTGTGTCGTCTTCCTCTTGTGCTGTGTACTGTGCTTGGTTCTTTTTAAAAATGGGGAATCATCATGGCCCAAGTTAATTTTAAAAAAATAACTTCCGTGTACCGGCCAGGTAGCTCAGTTGGCCAGAGAGTCATCCCGATATGCCAAGGTTGTAGATTCGGTCCCCAGTCAGGGCACATACAGGAACCAAGCAATGAATGCGTCGGTGGGTGGAACAACGAATCTCTCACCCTCTCTCCCTTCCTCTTCCCCTTCTGCTCTCTGTGAAATCAATAAATAAAAAATTAAATTAAAAAATAAAAATCACTTTCCTCCCAAGCATAGCTGGCCCATCTGAGCTATAGTAAGCAATAGAACACGTGCCTTTATGGACTCCAGCCATAGGCGGTGGGTGCACCAGTCACTTCTCAGTTGGGCTGAATGGGTGATTGGGTCTGATCCCATAGTGTAAGAACTTCTTTAGCACACACTCAGTTGAACTTGGGACCTTGGTTTCAGCACTACACTCAAACCAGAGGTTCTTAATCTTTTAGGGGTATCAAGAGCTTTGATCCAAAGAGTCTTCTTCACAGAAAAATTCACATATCCACATATTTGTGAAAGTTTACAGACATTTGAAAGGGGTAGCCAGCTGTAAGCTTCTGCTCTAACCAAAACTCAGTGCCTAAGAGCGTAAGTATCAGGCCTTCCCTGGAAGGTCTGATGTTGCAGCAGCGACAGCGGAAATCAGAAGGGCCACCCAGGTCCTGCCCTACCACCTTCCCCAGCCAGGGCCCTCGGGTACAATCATGGCCTCTTAAAGCAGTTGCCACTGGAGCCTCCTCTGAGGGCTGTTTCAGTAGGGCTCTGATGGCCCTGGCGTCTGTGTTTCTTAGAAGCTCCACAGGAACTCTCATGAGCAGCCCCGGTGTAGAACTCATGTTCTGTGAACTCAGAACAGTCAGGTTAGCATTTCTGGTATCAAGCTGGCCAAAGGCAGGCGGGACTGAGTCACCTTGTGAGGATGAGCCCTGGGCAGATGGTGAGGGCCGGGGACTGGCACTCAGAGGCTCCTGTCATCCTAGAGGAGTTCTCAGGCCTCTTCTGCCTGCCATGCCATCTAACCCGCTGCCTGTGCTGTCCTTGTCTTCCAGCTGCTCCCTACTGGCTAGACGAACCCAAGAACCTTATCCTGGCTCCTGGCGAGGATGGGAGGCTGGTGTGTCGAGCCAATGGGAACCCCAAGCCCACTGTCCAGTGGATGGTGAATGGGGAACCTTTGCAATGTGAGTAACAAACCATCATCTCCCCTGGTTCTGCTCTCCCTGCCATCAACGGCTCCAAATCCCCGTTCCCATGGGCAGCCCTGGTTGTTCCAGAAGTGAGCGAGCAGCCATCTCTCTGGACATCTCAGGAGGCTGTGGTTTTCTTCTCCCTTGGGTTTTTCATAAATCTCTGCTCTGTGCCCTTAATAGTACAGAGCCCAACAAGTCTGGGATCTGCAGCTGCATCTCCTGAGAATTTGAGCTCTGGGTGATGCCTGGAGCTTGGAAGATGGAGTACAGCTCAACAGCCCATTGCCCTCGGTTGCCGAAGTCTCGTTTTCTGCCGAGGGCAAATAAGAGGCAGGTCTGCGTGGCAGTATGAACCATCTGGTTGGACAGGAGAGAGAACTTCCTCATGAGAACAGAGGTGCACCTGCGCAGTTACTCAGCGTGCATGGACTTTGGGGAGATGTCGGTCGTCGTGCCTAGATGGCTGGAGCGGGCGGGTGCAAGGCCCCTTCCAGCCAGAGATCTTGGTCAAATTTTCACCTCATAGTCTGTCTGGTTGCATTTCCTTTTTTAAATGTCCTGTCATTACTTCCTGTAAGGAGTCAGAGGAAACACAAGAGGTGATATCCAACAGATGGGACAAAAAATAGTTGGAGAGAACTCAGAGCCTTAACTCAAGAGCACCAGGTGGAGAGGCAGGGGGGCAGGTGCAGGAGGGGGTGAGAGAACACCTTTCCAGACACATGTTGTGCTCCAGCCCCTGCACTGCATGCTGCACCCCTGTTCTCTCTTCCACCTGTCACATCACAGGTGAGGACACGAGGCTCTGATGGCGTCACCTGAGGTCACGTGGCTAGTAGGTGGTAGAGCTGCGGGTTGCTGAGAGAACACCACACGCCTGCACCATCTAGTACCGAGTGCCTTTACTCCCGGTGACTGTCTTCCCCATGGATGTAGCAGAGATAGGGACATGGCCTGTCCTCTGCCATTGGTTCTCCTTGTCCTGACAGCCTTTGGGGACAAGGCAAACAAAGGCTCTAAACTTCATCACACCCAGGACTTGTAGCTGAGCCTGGGCCTGGAAAGGTTGCCCGTCACTTTCAGGGAGTGACTGGGGGGATGTTGGGTCCCTGAGAAATGCTGGGCCAGGAGACGTTAGAGCCACTGGCATTGCCTGCCTCATGCTCTGCTGAGTGGGGAAGGGTGATAAGGATGCTGACCTTGTCTTCGTCTACCATCTGCCAATTCCCTGGTTCCTGGCTCAGGCTCGGTATCTGAGCAGTGGTACCCGTGGGGCCAGACCCTGGGTCCCCTGAAGCTGACTCTTGCTGTGTGTCTGTGATCCTGGGTGAGTTCACGGACCCTGTAAGAGAAGTCGTCTGGTACAGTCCAGAAATCTTAGAGGAAAGTCACCCTTGGTGATGAAAGATGAGAAAAGTGTCAGTTTCTTACGTTTCTAGAAAACCTTCATTTGAACAGCTCATTATCTTCCTCCTCTCTTAACCCTTCCTGGATAAGGGAATGATAGGAGTAATTCTCCCCCATTTAACAATGAAGGAGATGGGGCTCAGAGGACGCATTAATTTGCCCCAGGGCCCAGCCAGATGCGCGGTCAGGTCTGGAATGGGAGGGAGGCATGTTCTCTTTGAGCATGGGATACCTTCCTTGGGACCATGGGGAAGCTTTGGCATGTAGAGGGACGTGTGCGGTTTTTAGGGGGCACTAGCCTTCAGGTTTAAACTTTGCGGATGTCTTCAGAATGCTCTTCTCTGAGGATGGGAAAGTGGCAGGCCCACCCAGTTCTGTATTGCTTTGTCCTTTTCAAAACAGACTTACGTATATGCACATTGGATTAAAATAACAACAGTAATAATCCGTATGGGCCAGGCCCTCTGCCAACAATTTTTTTAAGTATATTTTATTGATTATGCTATTACCATTGTCCCATTTTTTTCTCCCCTTTATTCCTCTTCACCCTGTACCCCGCCTCCAACCATCATTTACCAACTTTAGTTTATGTCCATGGGTCATATATATAAGTTCTTCAGCTTCTCCATTTCTTGTACTATTCTTAATAGCAGAATAGTGCCTACCATTTACACTTCTTATTCCCTTTTCCCCCCTTCTCCTCCCTCTCTCCCTCCAAGCTGCTAACCCTCCATTGTGATCTCCATTTCTGTGATTCTGTTCCTCTTCTAGTTGTTTGCTTAGTTCGTTTTTGTTTTTGTTTTGTTTTTTTAGGTTCAGTTGTTGATAATTGTGTTTGTTGTCATTTTACTGTTCGTATTTTTGGTCTTCTTTTTCTTAAATAAGTCCCTTTAACATTTCATATAATAAGGGCATTGTGATGATGAACTCCTTTAACTTGACCTTATCTGGGAAGCACTTTATCTGCCCTTCCATTCTAGGGCAGCTTTGCTGGATAGAGTCATCTTCAATGTAGATCCTCACCTTTCCTGACTTTGAATACTTCTTTCCAGCCCCTTCTTGCCTGGAAAGTTTCTTATGAGAAATTAGCTGATAGTCTTATGGGAACTCCTTTGTAGGTAACTGACTCCTTTTCTCTTGCTGCTTCTAGAATTCTCTCCTTCATTTTAATCTTGGGTAATGTAATTATGATGTGCCTTGGTGTGTTCCTCCTTGGGTCCAATTTCTTGAGATTCTCTGGGCTTCCTGGACTTCCTGGAAGTCTATTTCCTTTGCCAAATTGGGGAAGTTCTCCTTTATTATTTTTTCAAATAAGTTTTCAATTTCTTTCTCTTCCTCTTCTTCTCTGGCACCCCTGTGATTTGGATGTTGAAACATTTAAAGTTGTACTGGAAGTTACTAGTCCTCTCCTCATTTTTTAAAATTCTTGTTTCTTCATTCTGTTATGGTTGAATGTTTATTTTTTCTTTCTGTTCCAAATTGTTTATTGAGTCTTGGTTTTCTTTCCTTCACTCTTGGTTCCTTGTACATTTTCCTTTATTTCACTTTGTATAGACTTTACTTTTTCCTCTATTTTGCAACCATACTCAACCATTTCTGTGAGCATCTTGATTACCAGTGTTTTGAACTGTACATCTGATAGGTTGGCTATCTCTTTGTCACTTTGTTGTATTTTTTCTGGTGCTTTGATCTGTTCTTTCATTTGGGCCATATTTCTTTGTCTCGGGGTACCTGTTACACTGTAAGGGGAGGAGCCTTAGGTATTCTCCAGGCCTGGGCAACCCACATGGCTGCATTGTGGTGCTTATGTGGAGGAGGGGTCCCAGAGGGAACAATGCCACTCACTAAGCTCTCACCCCACTTTCAGTCATTTCCCCCACTACCCACAAGCAAATTGGGCCTTTCTGGTGCTGATTCCCAGGTGGGTGGGTTTGTGTACATTCTAGGACCCTATGGGTCTCTCCAACAAACTCTCCTGTGAAGCTGGGAATTTTTCCTGCCACTTTAACGCCCACAGGTTTTTACAACCAGAGGTTTTGAGGTTTTATTTCTTTGCACTGGAGTCCTGGGTTGTGTGGTCTGTCTTGCTCCCCAGTTGTTCCTCCTGGTTTATCCATAGTCAAATGTGGGACCTCCCAGTTCTCCAACCACTGCCTTGCCACAAGTCCTCCCTACCCTGGCCGCCTATCTGCGCCCCTCCTACCAGGCTGAATGAATGTTTCTTCTTTAACTCTTTGGTTGTTAGACCTCCATACAGTTCAATTTTCTGGCAGTTCTGGTTGATTTTTGTTTTTAAATTTGTTGTTTTTCTTTTGGTTGTGTGAGGAGGCAAATCGTAAATGCCTATGCCTCCATCTTGACCAGGAGTTGCCCACAACTTTAACCATGCATAAAATCTCAGGCCATCCTCACAAAAACCCTATGAGGTGAACCCTTGTTCTTACACTACCGACAAGGAAACTGACATTGGCAGGAATATAGTTAGAATTCAAACCCTTTTCTGTTGCCACAGCTTAGCGCTCAAGCCACACCTGCCCCGCTGCTCTGTTGGTTGAGCAGAAATTCATATCCCCACTGGAGTGACTGAGAAATAAACTTCGGTAGGTTTGATGATGGGCCCAACGTCACACAGTCATGCAGTGGTGGGGCCGGAAGCCTGGTCTTCTGAGAGCCACACAGCACTGCTGCTTCCTCGGCACCCAGTCCTGCTGCAGAGCGCAGGGCGGAGCCCCAGGCTCCCTTCGCCTGCAGGCCCTCATTTCTCACGAGGAGCATCCTTCCTCTCTGTAGCAGCACCACCCAACCCAAACCGTGAGGTGGCCGGGGACACCATCATCTTCCGGGACACCCAGATCAGCAGCAGGGCCGTGTACCAGTGCAACACCTCCAATGAACACGGCTACCTGCTAGCCAATGCCTTCGTCAGTGTGCTGGGTGAGTGTCCCCTGCCTCCCCTGCAGTGCTGCTCCTTGGGGCTTGTCATGTCCTGGGCGCACTGTCTTCTCAGACAGCAGCCAGGCTGGCAGCCGAGGTGTGGAGACTGAAGAGGAGATTTGTGGGAAGAAGAGAGGACATAAATCCCACAGAGTGGGGTGTGTAGACTGCGAATTCCCCACTGAAAGTCAGCCATGGTGCCTCCTTCCCCTGATGAGACAGAGTGGGCCTGTCTTGTCTCCTTGGTGGATCCACACCAACTCTCCTGCTTCTCAGTGGGCCGGAGCAGGAAATAGTTCTGAGGATGACCGTAGTGTCCTGGAGCAGGAAGGGGGCTGTGGGAGGGGCAGGTGCAGAACCTACCGGATAATTTGAGGAAACTCCACAGAAGCTGGATTGGATAGAGCATAAGTTAAAAATGGAACAGCTTCCTCCTTCCTCACCTGACCCTCAGAGGCTTTTTAAAGGAGGCATGTGGACAGGGGAAAGTGTGTGGCATCTGGAAAGCTGCTGTACAGAGAAGGCATGTAGAGATGAGACCAAGGGGATAGAAGTGAAAGAGTCAGACTGCCCACCCACAATTGGGTGTCTGGAATTGCAGACGTGCCGCCTCGGATGCTGTCACCACGAAACCAGCTCATTCGGGTGATCCTGTACAACCGGACACGGCTGGACTGCCCCTTCTTTGGGTCCCCCATCCCCACACTCCGATGGTAAGTTCCAGGAGACCAGGCCTCCCCAGTGGGGGTCATCTGTCTCACCTTTTCCATTCCCATCTGGCCCTTATGTAATAGGTATTCAGCAATACCCGGGAAACTTAAAAGGTCAAAGCTGGGAGCAGGTTGGCTGATCAGCTGGGGCAACCCCTTTATTATGCAGAGAATGAAACTGAGACCCAGGGAGGGGCCGGAACTTGCCAGGGCTACCCAGTGGTTGGAGGCACACCCTACAAGGATGAGGGCTTCCAGTTACTAGTGTGGGGCTCCTTCTACTGCCCAAACTATCTCTTGAGTGGTTGGCCCCTGCTTCCTTGGGCTAGTCCTTTCTCAGTATGCTGTGTGTTCTGCTGCTGTTGTGAGGTTTAAGAATGGGCAAGGAAGCAACCTGGATGGTGGCAACTACCACGTCTACGAGAATGGCAGTCTGGAAATCAAGATGATCCGCAAAGAGGACCAAGGCATCTACACCTGTGTCGCCACAAACATCCTGGGCAAAGCTGAAAACCAGGTCCGCCTAGAGGTCAAAGGTAAAGGAGAGGGTTGATAGGTGGAAGGCAGGGTGGAGCTCGGAAAGGACTCTGTCTTCTCCAAGTTATCCACGTGTGCTTTTCCCTTTGAAAATGCACACACCTAAGTTTAATCCCTGGTGGGATCTTCCCCATAGGCCCGTGTGTCCTCCCAGGGCATCCAGCTGGCCCGGGTGCTGGGAACACTGAGTCGTTATCAGCCTGGTCCCGGCGGAGGCATTAGGAAGGGAACCCGCTACCCACACCACCTCCCATGCCACCGCAGGAGTTGCAGCGTATCTTCCCGAGTCAGATAGGAAGGATTTGGGGGTCGTTCACGATTTGGGGTCATCCTCACCAGGCCTCCCCCCTTTCATACAAGGGGATGGTATTTCTGCCACCTTTCTTGATCAGCCTAACCTTGAGGGTCATGCATGTCATGCCGTGTCTATGTTGGAATGGTGGCCAGAGAGCATGTCAGTGAAGAACACCCGGGTTTCTCCACAGACCCCACCAGGATCTATCGGATGCCTGAGGACCAGGTTGCCAAAAGGGGCACCACAGTGCAGTTGGAATGTCAGGTCAAGCACGACCCCTCCCTGAAACTCACGGTCTCCTGGATGAAGGATGACGAGCCTCTCTACATCGGGAACAGGTCTCCTCTCCTACCTTGTCTCTTCCTGGAGCTAGCTTGGGTTCCTATTCTTTTCCTTGCTCAACACATTGAAGAATCCAGGGACAGGAAACCTGGGTCATGTGTGTCATGGAGGAGCTGCCAGGGAGTACAGGATGGCCTCAGTGACGCCCTCCAGCTCAGGAGAGACCCCACCCTGCAGCCTTCTCCCTCTCTCCCATCAGCTGTCTGCTTCTCTTCCTTCTCCTCTCTTTCCAGCCCCTTTCTCTTTTCACTTCTCTTCCCTCACTCCTTGTTTCTTCCTCCTCCCTTTATTGTGAGCCCCTCTCTTCCTCCTCTTCCCCATCAGAGCCAGGAGCCCCGCCCCACCTTCAGCCCTGCCTGCAGCACCCCTGCTCTCCAGCAGAGGGCAGGGTTGGCCTGAGCCTACAATGACCATCTCTCCTTAGTGTGGTTCTCAGCCCTTGTTGGCCTTGGGACACTTTTACTAGATCCAAGCCTTTCCCCTTCCTCATCGCAAACCCAAATTCATTTGGTGCAGGAAGAGGGCCCAGGCACTGATAGTGTTTACACATCCCCACAGGTGTTTCTTTTTTTAAAAATATGTTTTACTGATTATGCTGTTACAGTTGTCCCATTTCCCTCCTTCACTCCCCTCCACCCAGCACACCCTCTCCCACCCACATTACCCCCTTTAGTTCATGTCCATGTGTCATACTTATAAGTTCTTGGCTTCTACATTTCCCATACTATTCTAACCCTCCCCCTGTCTATTTTCTACCTACCATCTATGCTACTTATTCTCTGTACCTTTTCCCCCTCTCTCCTCCTCTCATTCCCCTGTTGCTAATCCTCCTTGTGATCTCCATTTCTGTGATTCTGTTCCTCTTCTAGTTGTTTGCTTAGTTTGCTTTTGTTTTAGGTGTAGTTGTTAATAACTGAGTTTGCTGTCATTTTACTGTTCATGTTTTTTATCTTCTTTGTCTTAAATAAGTCCCTTTAACATTTCATATAATAAGGGTTGGGTGATGATGAACTCCTTTAACTTGACCTTATCTGGGAAGCACTTTATCTGCCCTTCCATTCTAGGGCAGCTTTGCTGGATAGAGTCATCTTCAATGTAGATCCTCACCTTTCCTGACTTTGAATACTTCTTTCCAGCCCCTTCTTGCCTGGAAAGTTTCTTTTGAGAAATTAGCTGATAGTCTTATGGGAACTCCTTTGTAGGTAACTGACTCCTTTTCTCTTGCTGCTTCTAGAATTCTCTCCTTCATTTTAATCTTGGCTAATGTAATTATGATGTGCCTTGGTGTGTTCCTCCTTGGGTCCAACTTCTTCGGGACTCTCTGGGCTTCCTGGATTTCCTGGAAGTCTATTGCCTTTGCCAGATTGGGGAAGTTCTCCTTTGTTATTTGTTCAAATAAGTTTTCCAACTTGTTGCTGTTCTTCTTCTCCTTCTGGTACCCTTATAATTTGGATGTTGGAATGTTTAAAGATGTCCTGGTGGTTCCTAAGCCTCTCCTCATTTTTCTGAATTCTTGTTTCTTCATTCTTTTCTGTTTGGATGTTTCTTTCTTCCTTCTGGTCCACTCCATTGATTTGAGTCCCATTTTCCTTCCCATCACTCTTGGTCCCCTGTACATTTTCCTTTATTTCACTTAGCATAGCCTTCATTTTTTCATCTAATCTGCGACCAAATTCAACCATTTCTGCGAGCACCCTGATTACCAGTGTTTTGAACTGTGCATATGATAGGTTGGCTATCTCTTGGTCACTCAGTTGTATTTTTTTCTGGAGCTTTGTTCTGTTCTTTCGTTTGGGCCATTGTTTTTATGTCAGCATGCCTGTTACATAGTGAGGGGCAGAGCCTTTGGTGTTCACCAGGGCTGTGTAACCCAGGTCCCTGGGTTGCGATGCTGTATGTGGGGCAGGGGTCCGAGAGGGAACAATGGTGCTGGCTCTGCTCTCTGCCGGATTTCAGTCACTTCCCCACTTCCCACAGTCAAATTGGGCCCTTCTGGTACTGATTCCTGTATGGGTGGGTTTGTGTACACCCTGGGACTCTGTGAATCTTTCCAATGAACTCTCCTGTGAGGCTGGGAGTTTCTCCCGGCACCTCAACCCCCACAGGTGTTTTCAATCAGTATTTTGAGGTTTTATTTCCCTGCACTGGAACCCTGGGTTGTGTGGTCCGTCTTACTCCCCAGTTTTGCCTGGTTTATCTGCCCATGAATATGGAAACTCTGGGACCACCAGCTGCCTTGCACGCTGCTCCCCTCCACAATCCGATGCCTCACTGGGTCTGCCAGCTGCTGCCTTGGGCGCCTTGCCTTGAGCCCTCTCCTTCCCGGCTCCCCACTCCACCCCTACTACCAGTCTGGATGAATGTATTTACTTTAACTCCTTGGTTGTCGGACTTCCATACAGTTCAGTTTTCTGTTAGTTTTGGTTGTTTTTTGTTTCTAAATTTTTGTTGTCCTTATTTTGGTTGTGCAAGTAGGCACAGTGTGTCTACCTACGCCTCTGTCTTGGCCAGCAGTCCCATAGGTGTTTCTGATTGCAGCCAGGGCCTGAGCCTCCCCCACAGGGCTCTCCGCTGCACCCTTTCACCTCAGGGGCCCTGAACTGGCCATAGGTACAAGCTGTTTCCAGCACCCATCTGTTTTTTTCAGGGGTGCACCCTCAGGGTGCATGCTCTCGGTGCCTTCGCTCTATGGGAGACCATTTAGAGGAGCCCGGGCACCTGGCCTAAGCCCAGGTGCAGAGACTGGTCTGGGCTGAAGACAGAGCTGGAGTATGGGAAGGGGAGGGGTGTCCATCTGCCCTTTGGGGGGTGAGTCCAACTGTGCTCTAATTTGTGGGGGAGCACGGCACAAGAAAGGCACAGAAAGAAGTATGCGGTCGGGCTCAGGGCCGCATCAGCCTCCCCCAGGTTTCTTTTCCCCTTCATTAAAAGCACCGGAAGTGCTGGTAAAGACCCTCTCTCCCCAAAAGCATCGAGATGGAGGGGCTGTAGCTGCCCAGTAGGGAATAAGCAGCAAACAGTGCCTGGCCACCACCCCCCACCCCCTTCCCCGCCCCTGTTATCTCCCCACTCGCCCTCCCCCAAACCCTTCTGGCACCTTTACAGGATGAAGAAGGAAGATGACTCTCTGACTATCTTCGGTGTGGCTGAGCGGGACCAGGGCAGTTACACGTGTGTTGCCAGCACCGAGCTGGACCAGGACCTGGCCAAGGCCCACCTCACCGTGCTAGGTAACTGCCACTGTCCCGGTGCTGACCTCTCTTCCCTTCCTGCAGCCAGAGAAGCCGTGGGCCCATCAGGTGTGGTGGTCTCCTGCCCTTTGATCTAAGGGTTATTTAGGAAACTGCTCCTTTCAAAACTAGCTGCATTGGATGACTTATCTCCTAAGTGGAATTATTAACTTGCCAAATCCTTGCCTGAATGAGAGAGGGAAGGTGGACAGGGTTCTTGTTGTGGTCATTTTTACCAACTTTACAGCTGCTCTAAACCACTAAGTTCACTAAAAGGACCTGTCACTGAAGCAGGACTGAATGTTGTGTTTGTCCTCCCGACACCTCTCCCGGCCTTGCTCCCCTCCTCCTGCTTCCTGATGGGATTTCACGGGGTGCTCTGTACTTAGCAAGGCGATCCCTTCTCCTCCAGCCGGACTGTAAATACTAAACCATCCCAAACCTGGGAGAGGGAACTGCCCCCACCCAGGGGAGCAAATCCCCCATTGTCCTTCACACCTTTGTCCAGTCTCGGGGTGCCCACTGCCAGTCCTCTGGTGTGTCTTGCCCCTTCCTCAGCAGAGGCGCGCAGTTGCAGGAGGTGGAGGGCCGGGTGCGGTTGTAGCACAGGGGCAAGGAGGCGCTGGAGGAAGCACAGGAAGGCCTCTCGAAGGGGTGGGGCTGCCTGTGGAAGGTGGGGAAGCTGTGCCAGAAACACACGCAGGGGCCACTCTTCCAGCCTCTGCTGCCTGCTCTCCCACCCTTCCAGAACACCTAGGTAACCTGCTAACCTGGATAACCTGCTAACCTGGATAACCCATCTTACCTTTGCAGCTGATCAGACCACTCCAACTAACCGTTTGGCCGCCCTGCCCAAAGGTAATTGATACTAATCGGGACCCTCGCCAGGCCCTCCCAAGGCCCGCAGAGAGTGGGCCCAGGAGGAGAGCGCTGCCCGCCAGATGTGCTGTGTGTGGGCGGTGGGTCCCACTCTCCACTTCCTGCCAAATCAGCTCCTTCAAGTGTCCCCAGCCACCTCCCTGAGAGTCACATCTCTGCTCCAGGCTTCCTGCCCTGTTTGCAGTTGAGCTTGGTGGTCCGTAGCTACCACTTCACACGCATCCCTTACCTCTAACCACTCACCACACCCACGGGGTGGCCTGTTCCTTTGCTTGGCGTCAGAATGGGTATGGTCCAGTGGGAAAGGCCCACATTCCCTGCAGCCTGTCCCTGCCCAGCACTGTATGCCCACGTACAGTCTGTGCCCACTTGAATGTACACACACGTGCCTCACCTTCCAGTCTCCCAGGAATCGGCCAAAATGTGGAAATAGCTCATCCAAGGAGCCATAGAGGGGAAGTGTGCCTACCCACCCCAGTCCATGGTGGGGTGGCGTTACCCCCCAGGCCAGGATGGCACTGACCCAACTAAGCAATCCAGTGGGACTGGAGCCCCCCAAAAGTGCAGTCTTGCCCCTGTTAGGATGCCTGTTGGGGCTCCTTTGTCCTCTGTCTATCACTGAAGCTTCGTGACCAAGTCCCCGTCTCCTTCCTGGCCTGGTCCCCTTTGTCCCTCTCATTCCTTGGACCTCTCTACTCCACTCAGCCCTCCAGATACTCATAGGGCTCCTGCACCTCGGAGATTTAGCATACAGATTAGGAAATAATTATGATGAGAAATGAGACAAAACTTCTTACTTCTTACTCCCTGGCCTTCCTAAATGTGTCAAAAGCGTTTGTGTCTAGTGAAAAGCATTTCCAGATGCTTGCACTCTAAGAATACCTGCAGAAATGGGATGGGTTGGTCCGAGTTTTCTCTCCGTGCCCTGCATCCTTTGATACTCCTTTGGGGGTGGTGGAACTGGGGTCTGCTCATTGTTCTTCCTTGAATACCCGAGGGACAGGGTGGTCCTGTGCCAACCCTCCAGGGAAGGCTGGGCGTGGCACCTGCTGTGGTGACCTCAGCCCACCAGGGACCTGTGCATGGGACGGTGTCCAGGGCTGGGGCCAGCCCAAGGACGGGCTGGCTCCAACTCAGGAGTCCCGCGTGGCGTCTTCTCTCTCTGCTGCCAGCACGGCCAGACCGGCCCCGGGACCTGGAGCTCACCGACCTGGCGGAGAGGAGTGTGAGGCTGACCTGGATCCCGGGGGATGATAACAACAGCCCCATCACAGGTCAGCCAGGGCCTGCGCTCCCGCCCAGGGAAGAGGGGTGGTAGCAGCCCAGAGACGGGAGGCCTCGGCCTGGTTTCCGGACCCACGTCCACCTCACTTGACCTGTGCCCCGGGCCGTTGGCAGAGCAGGTGGAAGCCTTGGTTTTCCTTCCGGTGTCTTGATGGGAATTCTCCCTCTGCCTGTGTCTACTTGAGGGTGGTTCTGGAGACCAATGGAAACCGTGAGGGTGTGCTCTTAAGGAAGAAGTCTCTAACTCAGCCCCTAAAACAGCTCTGTCTCCCTTGCCCACGCAGACTATGTTGTCCAGTTTGAAGAGGACCAGTTCCAGCCAGGAGTCTGGCATGACCATTCCAAGTTCCCAGGCACTGTCAACTCTGCCATCCTCCAGCTGTCCCCATATGTCAACTACCAGTTCCGGGTTATTGCCGTCAACGAGGTTGGCAGCAGCCACCCCAGCCTCCCATCCGAGCGCTACAGAACCAGCGGGGCACGTGAGTACGGGAGCGCTCACGGAGGGTGCTGGAAGCGGGTGCCTGAGTCCAAACTGAGTTTCCCCAGCCCCCAGCCATGCGAATTTGGGCAAGTTACTTAACCTCTCCAAGGCTTGGCTTCCTCACCTGTGAAACACAGGGTAACAACACCTGCCAGCATAGAGCTATCATGAGGATGGCATTTGAAATGCAGTTCCAGCACTTACCATGATGCCTGGCATATAGTAAGCACTCCATAAATGCTAACTCTCACTTTTTATTATCACTGATGTTATCGATAACTCTCGATGATATGGTTTAAAGGCAAGAGCTATGGCATAGATCTGCAGTAGGACCATGTAATCTGCTCTTCTACTGGATTTCTTTGCTGGGTAATATTTATATTTCTGAAATCACACTAGCTCATTGACATCCCCCAAAATGTTAAATGATGGGGATAAACAAGTTCATATCTAACATATTCAGTGGGTAACTCACACAGGGGTTAATCCACACTGAGCCAGCTACAAGACCATCTAAAATGTTTAAAAGCTCATAATAAATCCTGTCTGGTAAGGGATTGAAATTGAAAAGAAATTAGCGCTTGCTTCTGTGGGGTTTAAATCTTAGCTAGGAAGGCACATCACCCACATGAGAGACGGCAGACCAAGTTCAATTCCCTGTGGGACAGAGGGCAGACAGGTGCTGGGGAAAAGCCTGGGAGAGACTGGTTGGGTGGGAGGAGCAGAGGTTGCTCACCACACCCTGGTAAGGCACAAATTGGGCTTGAACTTTGTGTCAATTTGGGTTCCAGCCCCTGAGTCCAACCCCAGCGACGTGAAAGGAGAGGGGACCAGGAAGAACAACATGGAGATCACATGGACGGTCAGTGTCCCTTCCCACGCAGCCCCCAAAGGGCAGCAGCGTGCACCCACGATCCCTCACCCTTTATAGCCCTGTCACCTCGAGGCCACGTTGTGGCTCAGCCCACCTGGCTGGTTTGGTGGCCACTCTTCTCTGCATTGGGCATCCGGAAACCAAGCAGGAGCGTGTCTAGAGCGAGAGTTAAGACAGGAGAGAGGAGCAGAGGTGACTGGCATCCTGGCACAGTCACAGAACCAGCAAAATAAAATGGACTTCTTCAGAAGAAGGAGGGATCGAGGTTAGAGTCGGGAAAGATTCAGCACAAACACCAGCCCTCACTCCGGTGTGTTCTGGGTTTTTTCACCCGAGGTTGTTGGGATCAGGTGGGACCGGCAATCATGACATTTTCAGCGTAGCCCTCCTCTCGGTCGAGGAGGGGACCAGATAACTCCAGGCCAGGACTGATAAATCCTATGTTCATTTTGGCTCACTGACTACACTTTCCGAATCAAAATCGGATATGTCACATCAAAATGACTTTTCCCCAAACCACTTCCAAGTCTGAGAGGTGTAAATTTGGCTGCTGAAGTATCAACACCACTGCACTCTTGCCACGAGTTGTGGAAACAGGGCACTCAGTACCGGGATTGCAGACTGCCCCTGAGGGGGGCCTGGTCTCCCCGCAGCCTCAGAAAGGGGCCAAGCCCAGATGCCAGGCGCCAGGCACCCCCTCAGGACCATGCAGGGGTCAGTTTGTGCTCCGTGTTCCGTCCTGTGGGCTCCAGGGCACTGCTTCCTGGAACAGACCCTCAGGGAACAAAGATCAAAGTCATTCCCACTCTCAGAGCGCTGGTGCAAGGGCAGCGCCGCCCACCTGGGCTCCACAGAACTGAGAGTTGGCTCTGCCATTCTGAGTTCATTGGCAGAAGGCATGCAGGGGCTCAAGCAGCGGTCACGCCTTTCTGACTTGGGAGAATATTACATCGTCATCCATATTTTTTCTGGCTTCTCCACCATAAGAAAGAGTCCTGCCAAAAATAAAGCTTTTGCTTCTATGCCCTTGCCAATGTGGGAGTCACAGTGACTAGGTCTTGGTGACGCTTTCATCACAGAAAATCTACATGCTGCTGGGTTCATAGGATTCTGGGCTTTGGAGAACTCCGAGGGGTAGGGAATGGCCAGTGTCAGGCAGACTGGGAAGGGCGTAGAAAGAAAGCGCACGCTGTGGTCTCCACCTGCCCCCTCCACTCCTGCCCTCTGTCTCCCTGCTCAGCCCATGAATGCCACCTCCGCCTTTGGCCCCAACCTGCGCTACATCGTCAAGTGGCGGCGGAGAGAGACTCGAGAGACCTGGAACAATGTCACAGTATGGGGCTCCCGCTACGTGGTAGGGCCGACCCCTGTCTACGTGCCCTATGAGATCCGAGTGCAGGCCGAAAACGACTTTGGGAAGGGCCCTGAGCCGGAGACTGTCATCGGTTACTCTGGAGAAGATTGTGAGTACCTTCCCCTTGTTTTCCACCCAGGACCCTCCCCACTGGGCTCCATAAGAGCTACCTTCATGGACTAGGGAACCTTGAGGTGGGCTGTGGGGCTTCCAAGAGCATCCTGGAGGATAGCCAGTTCCCGGGAAAAAGAAATCCCCCACAGTGATCTGTCTAGTAACAGATGGGCCCCTGATGATGTCAGGAGTGCAGATATTGTCATCTGTACACTATCCGAAATTACCGAGCGTCATCACCTGGTCCAGTACTGCCATGTGACGGATGTGAAAACAGACCGCGCAAGGAAAGCCCTTGCCAAGATCACACAGTAGCAAACATCAGGTGTGGAAAAGAAACTGGCCCCTCCAATTGGCCTTATTGCCAGCCCTTCCTAGTGCCAAGAAAGACCTCAGGATTGTGAATCCCAAAGAGCCATAATTAGGCTCTTCCACAGGAAGCAGGGCCACGAGCCAGGCTCCTCCCTGGGCTCCTCAGGGGCGGCTTTCAGGGCTGGAGGAGGTCCGCAGAGCCCCAGACTCTGGAAACACCCAGGCCAGCCTCCTGGCGGCATTCCCAGTGATGTTCTTGGCCCTCAGAATGGAGCGTAAATAGAGTTCTTTGGAGGCTTGACTGGATGAATCAGTAAGATTCTAGACATATATGTGGAAGTATGAGACTGGTTGCCTAGATGGTTGTGACCTTATTGTCCCCATCCATCCAGTAGGCTGCGAGGCAAAGCAGGAGGGTCAGTGAAGCCCACCCCCAGGTGAGGCTGACTTGTATGCCAGTGGTCTGGGTCTGACTTAAGAAGAAATCATGGAGTGACCAAAGTGGGGGGGAGATGGGAAGAGCACTGGGGAGGAGCAGTCACTGGCGCGACGCTGGGTCTGGAGTCGGGCCAGCAGTGCTCGCACCAGTGAGGTGGGACGAGGCGAGGGTTGGGCCCTGCGCCTGCTTTCCTGGAGGTGATGATGGATCTCACCCACTTGGGAGATAAGCAGAGGGGTCAGCAGGCCCTCTGTCCATTCCACTTCTCGTCTCCATGGTCGCAGCCACTTCTGGACAGGAGAGTACTGGAGGGTAAGTATGGAATAGGCAGCATCTGGTCATGAACTTCATGGACAGCCCCACAGTTTTCATTGCATCAGTCTACCACTGTGGCCTCTGCTCTGATGGAGTAGAGGGGATGGGGCAGAACCGCATCTGCAGCAGAATGGAGAAGGGGGCGGGAATCAGTTACAGGGGAGGGAGTGGCCCTCCCTTTCCAGGTAGCCATGGATAGGGCACCTTTAGTCTGGTGGTAATGCTTCCAGGCAGGCAACAAATGCCACTCGTGGGGACTATTTCTAATGGGACAACAAGGGTTACAGGGAAAACAGCAAGGCGTGGTGAACCAGGTGGAGGGCTAGCCATGGCAGGATGCCACTACAGGACTCTGAGCCTTGAAGGGGCAGGGGATGGGTGAGTTACCACACCCATCGAGAGCCACCCATAGGAGCCATGGCCTTGGGCAGAAGAAGGCAACAGTTGTCAACCCTTAGGCCTGCAACAGGCGGCCAGGGGAATAGCTGCCTTCCCTTCTGCCCCAGAATCTCCTGTTCATGCTTCCTATTGGGCGAACCCATCTGGAGACCTGAGAACAACGGAGCTCAGGTGACACCATTCAGAAAGGGCAGCCTCCTGGGACAAGGAGCAGGGTGGGGAAGGCTGGAGAATGGCACGGAGGGGCAAACAGAGACCACCAGCATGTGAGGGTAGCAAATAATTGCCCTCCTACCTGGATTGCTATCATTTCGTTCTGAGCCTTTCCCCACCCCTCCAAGTAGTCTGGTGGAGGAAATGGGGTTCCTGCCCTCATGGTGTACCCAGGGTCCAGAATGGGGTGCAGGTATGGGTGGCAGAGAACAAGTTCAGGGGAACCTGAGGTCCTGAGCCAGCCCTGCCAGCGTAACCTGCTCTCTGTCCCAACACGTTGCAGATCCCAGGGCTGCTCCCACTGACGTTAAAGTCCGAGTCCTGAACAGCACAGCCATCAGCCTTCAGTGGAACCGCGTCTACTCCGACACGGTCCAGGGCCAGCTCAGAGAATACCGAGTGAGGAAGCCAGCTCCCAGCCCCGCCTAACCACCCAGCTTGATAACCAGGGCAAGGGGGTAGCAGGTGCAGGCTGTGAGATATTTGGAAGGAGTCCAGAGTTGATTCAGGAAGATGATATCTAGGCTTAGATGTAATTCAGACGTGTCCTACAACAGATATGCTGAGACATTCTGCTCAGCAGAAAGTCACATGAAGGGTGGGGGTCTGGGTGGACACTACATAGCACACCGTGCTGGGAAGGCGTGAGTGGACGTGCACGCGTCCTCAGAAACTCTGTTGATGCATCACTGAGCTACACCCTGCCTGCGTGAGCTACACCTCAGTGCCCGCACTGGGCTGCTTGCCTCACCCATCTGCGGGAAGTCCCAACTAACAGGGGTAACCACTGAAAGGGTGCGGAAGCCTTCCCTGTTGTCACAGCCAACAACTCCCAATTACGCGGTATGTGCATTACCCAGGCTCTCAGCTTCTGATCTTCTGCTGTCAGCAGTTTCTGCTTGATCTCCAACCTTCTTTGAAAGGGCCAGCTGAGGTGGGGAAAAGGGTGAGAACACCCAGGTGTGCAGACTTCTCCTGTGGGCAGCTCTATTTAAAAGTTGCCTGGGAAGTGGGCGAGGCTGCCGCAGGGGCAAACACAGGCTCTGTGACCTCAGAGGTCATGGAGCGCTGGCTGATGGATAATTAGGGGCAGACTGGGGGGCTCTTTGGAAGTGAATTTGGTAAGTAGGGGATGGCAGGCAAGGTGATATATGCACTTGAACAAGCTCTTCCCTAACCATCGGCTTGCACTCTTAACTCGTTTGCCCGGAGATGTTTCTGGCTAAAGGTCCCATTGGGTCCCCCTCTTAAGTCTGGGCTTCCTCCTTATCTTGCCATTGGAGGACCAGGTGACGCTGGTGTGGTGGCCTGATCTGGAGCTTCTTACCCACCGCTACTCAGACCTTGCGTCAAAACTCTCTCGGTCTTGTCTGTGACACTGCCACCTTCCACAGGCCATCCCAGCTGAGCTCTTGCCACCGGGCAGCCTGGCGTCTGACTCACGTTGACACGTGTCTCTTCCACTGTAAAGGCCTCCAAACAGTATTAAGAGAAACATTTGAGCTCAGAGGATTAAACCAACCCTTGCTCAGATTCAGACTTCGGGGCCAACCCACCGCTGCCCCACTCCTCTCTGCTGCGAGCCTTACACCACACTAACCTGATGCGGGGGCCGCGGCTCGTGTTTGAGGTTTGGGTGCAAACTCCCTGAGCAACTTGCTCCCCAGCTTGGAAATAAGGCTCGCGACGGAGCAGTGCAGTGCCCGCCTGGCCAACTTGCCTCTTCTCCAGAGAGGTGGTTGAACCAAAACCGCATTTCTCCCTTGACATCAGTTCACGCTCACTGGTGGCTAATGAATGGGGACTCTCAGGCCCCTCCCCCAGCCCTGTGTGGGGTTCCTTTGGGATTTGGAGCCTGTGGCAAGCGAAGGGAAGACCGGCTGCTACCAGCACCACTAACAACTAACCCAGCTCTGCCCGACCGTCCGCTCACTGGCCTGCCTCTGTCCTGAAGGCCTACTACTGGAGGGAGAGCAGCTTACTGAAGAGCCTGTGGGTGTCTCAGAAGAGACAGCAAGCCGGCTTCCCTGGTGACCGCCTCCGGGGTGTGGTGTCCCGCCTCTTCCCCTACAGTAACTACAAGCTGGAGATGGTTGTGGTCAATGGGAGAGGCGATGGGCCTCGCAGTGAAACCAAGGAGTTCACCACCCCGGAAGGAGGTAGGTCTGGCCTGCAGCTCCTCGGGGTAGGGCAGGACAAGGGCGCCGCAGGCAGGTGGACTTGGAGCGCGCCATCCTGGCTTGGCACGGACAGCACAAGTCGACCCCGCCTGACCTCAAGGAGCCGACCGCCGTGAGCCGAGCAGCTCCCACCGTTCCCACAGAGCACTGCGTCACCGTGGCGGCCTGCCCTGACGAGATTGCACCTCAGAAGGAGACTCACGAAGTCCAACGACACAACTACAGCCAGGCCCCGTGGGAGCCTAGGCTGCCTGCTGCCTTCTGAGGCCGAAGCACAGTTGCCCTGACACCTAGAGGTACCCGGTCTGTGTACCAGCACCCACAGCCTGCAGAGCGCTCACCACCGCAAACAAGAAGCGTTTGCTGAGATTGTCGGCCCGTGGGTGCAGCAGCCCTGCAGAGGGGTGCCTGCCTTCTGCGGGTCACAGTCACCCCAGCCCTGGGAGGCAGACACCTCCCAGCCCCCCCCCCACCTCCCGTTCTCGCCAGTCCTCTCTCAGCAGTGCGGCACTTGCTCCCCCGGGTCTGTTTCTCCTCCCTCCCTTCACTGTTGTTTTCCTCATTTTCTTCTCTCCTTTCTTGACTCTCCTGTGGTCTTCCCTCTCGTTTTCTTTGTTCCTGCCTCTCCCTCCTCCGTGTTTCACCATCAGCCTCCTCCCAGGGCTCCTGCCCCTCAGCTGTCCACATGCCCCGTCTGGGCTTGCTCTCCTCCCCACCCTGAGCCCAGCATCCTCAGCCCGGAGGTGAGAAGAATCCTTGTCTGAGGATCGGGAGCTGCGGCCTCTGTAGGAAACAGTGACAGTTGTTTCCTTGCCTGAGACTTGCTCTGCCCTCCTGGGAGGCATCGCTGAAGAATCAGAGCTGAGTGCACAGAATCTGAACCAAATGCTTAGAATCCACAGCAGTTACTAAAGAAACCCTTGATTTCCTTCCTCCGTTTAAACAGAGTCTGAGCCGTGCTCACCCTGCATGAGGGAAATGCCGTGCGGGTGGGCCGTGGGCTCTGGAGCAGCAGCTGCCTGGCATGGGGGGCAGCCTGAGTCCAGTGCCTTCATGCTTGTGCTCTCTCTCTGTTTTCCTCGCCCTGCCCGCCCCCCTCGCCCCACCTCCCCCGCTCTCTTCTCCTTCCCCAAGTACCCAGTGTCCCCAGGCGTTTCCGAGTCCGGCAGCCCAGCCTGCAGACAATCAGCTTGGAATGGGACCATCCGGAGCACCCCAATGGGATCCTCACTGGATATTCTCTCAGATATGTGGCCTGTACGTTGGGATCTTAGATAATCTTTCGCTTAGGTAATCTGGGGATCAGGAACCCCATTCTCACCCCCTTTCCCAAGGGACCAAGGAGCCTGTGGTGCAGGGCATTGCCAGGGAGAAAGCCCCCTATGGGATTAGGGGGGCAGCTGAGACCCCGCTTTCCTGACGCAGCCCCTCCTGCACGGAGCCTCTGGTTGGCCCCGGGAGACAAAGGGAAGTTCTGGTCCAGCGCCAGCCTTCAGGGACCTTGGTCTCCAACACCAGCAGTCTAGGGGCATTCCTCTCCGAGGGCACGGCCATCAATGGGGCAAATAGTCCCTGCACAGGAGCCTGCGCGAGACTCAGGGACACCCTAACAAGGCGTCAGGAAGCTGTATGTAGACCTGTCGTAACTTGGAGTGACCCTGTCAGGAGGCTGAGTCAGGAAGACCTCACCTTGGGCGTTCAGTGTCACCATGTGGGGACAGAAGCATCATTACATTTTTAAAACATTAAGTCTTCTACAGTAGGTGATGTTGTACCCCACTGGGCACTCAAAGAGTTGGGTGTTGTGTTCACAACTTTATTTCAGGGTCTTTGTTTTTTTATTTTTTATTTTTTATTTTTTTACAACTTTAATACTCAACTGAGTGTTGCATACTATTCCAGATTGATCTCTGGAGCCGACCTTGAGGTCCATAGAATAGGCTTGTTACAAAGGAGGAATTAACCATCTGAAGCTCTAGTGGGTTAGCCCTAGTTCTTTTGAAAGGAAGAAAGAAACTCCTAAGTTTTGCCCTTGTTGAAAAGACTTGGAGATTATAAACTGAGTCTTTCAGAATCAGCCACGTAACTTTGCAGTGAGCTAGAGAGAACCAGTTCATTGAAAGAGTATTAGCCTTGGTATGTCATCAAAGTGCTGGAAAGGAGTTCTTGCCCCACACTCCCCTTGAACCAAGCCTCCCATCCCCTAGTCTTCAAGAGCACAGCCAGGTTTTACTGCAGCCCTTTCCAGCAGAGCTGGGAGGTTTGCTCTTCCATGGTCAATGTTGCCAAAGTTCGATTTCATTTACCTATCTCTCCCCAGTTAATGGAACCAAAGTAGGAAAGCAGATAGTGGAGAACTTCTCTCCCAATCAGACCAAGTTCATGGTGCAAAGAGCAGACCCCGTGTCACGCTACCGCTTCACCCTGAGTGCCAGGACGCAGGTGGGCTCTGGGGAAGCAGTCACGGAGGAGTCACCAGCATCTCCAAATGAAGGTAGGTGCACTGTGGCAGCCGTGGGGACGGCAGGCCCCAGTGAGACACTGATCTGACCTCTGGCTGCCTCTGGCGGCCTTCTGGCATGAGGAGGGAAGGAGGCCACAGGTCCTTCGGCCCTCAAAGCAGAGAGCCCATCTTGTATGCTGGCAGGTAGGTACGGATGATGTGTCTGCAGAACTCAGGTCTCCTTAGACTTGCTGTCAGACCTGGGTCCCCACTTGGCCTTGACTTGCTCAACTACATAACGTGTCATCTTTCCCTCTAATGGGGGAGTAGGGAAGAGAGTGTGAGTTCTGAGTGGAGATGACACGAGGGAAAATGCATTGGAAGTGAATATGCTAATGAAACTCAAGGAATAATGAACATGCCTACCTGTTGAGGGAGGCATGAATATTGACAGTGCACATGAGGGCTTTAGGGACACCCCTTCTTTTCCCAAGGGCACGTGGGGCCTAGGAGGGAGGGGAAATAGCCTTGACCGAAGCTACCTGTGCAGATCGTGAGTAGATACAGTCCCTCCTTGCAGCCTGAACTGAGTGAGTTGCACCTGAGGAGATGAAAGAGAGTTGGGAAACAGCCATTGGCCAGTCTAGCTTCACAAAGAGCAAAAGGGTTCATCTCCTGGGTCCTGGCATCTTCCAGGAGCCTAGCAATCCCCACTGGAGCTGCACCTGCATGAGGACTCCACTAGAGGGAGCTCTGGGCCCACCTGCACATGCTGACTGACATCCAGGAACCTATTGGGGGTTCATGACTATAGGACCTTTAATATGGGCGGGCCCCCTGTGAAAGCGGGTGCACACTGCCTCTCCAGAGGTACAGTGGTCTATTCAAAAACCATTTCTTAAGCACCCACGATGTGAAGTGCCAGACACTGTGCCAAAAATGGGGGATTCATAAGTAATGAGCGCACACAGTCTGGAAGGGGAGACATCATCAAGAGTAGCTCCTTGCAGTTTAACATGAGAAATGCCGTGTTCAGGTAAGGAAGGGGCCATGGTTGTGTGGCACGGGGAGATGGAGTCTGCAAGGGAAGCCTCAAAGAAGAGGTGAAGTGAGTAGGGGTCCTTGAGGTTGGCAGCAGGTTATCGTGTCTAGTGCTTTCTCCAGAAGGCTGGGGTTCAGCAGCTTCGTCCTGGCCCACGTCAGGCCTCCCAAGAACCTCTGCCGCCAGCCAGCAGAGCACCAGTGCTTCCCTCTCTGGGCTGCCAGGCCCTGCTGCCTCCGCTCGCTGGCCAGTGGGCCAGCAGCAAGGTGGGGGGTGGAGGTGGGGGTGGGAGGGGCTGGAGGAAGGCTTACGGTCCTTTCTGTGGCACTGTCCTGCCCCATAAATGTCCTGGAGAGAAAGGCATAAGTGAGCCACACAACAAGCTCCTCTAGTCGGGCCTTCCAACCCCGTGTGTAGTTAATTAGGTCTGGGGAGCTTTGGGTCCGTGCCTGATGTGTGCCTTTATTACCAAAGGATAATGCACCTTTCTTTTAAATGCCATTTTTAAAAGATTTTATTTATTTACTTTTAGACAGAGGGGAAGGGAGGGAGAAAGAGAAAAACCTCAATGTGTGAGAGATACATTGATCGGTTGCCTCTTGCATGCCCCCTACTGGGGACCTGGCCTGCAACTCAAGCATGTGCCCTGAGTGGGAATTGAACTGGCAACCTTTTGAAGAGCCACACCAGCCATGGCTGATGCACTCACTTGATTACTTAACTCTAAGGAGACACGTGAAGATAGCCCCTCCTCCTGCCCACCTCCACCCTGATGTAGAGCATCAGATAGAGAAGCATTGTCCAGGGACCACACAGAGAAAGTTCTGCAGCCCTGGGCAGCAGGAGTACAAAGACTCTTCTCAACTCAGAGATTTGCAGCAAATTCAGCAATTCCTTTTGGGGCTCAGTCCACAGTTGGGTTTCTTATTTCATAAAGTACAACTGGTGGGAAAGAGCTGGGCAAGCAGAACAAGACGGGCCTTGGGGCTGCAGTGTGTCACCATTCCCAGGCCTTTCAAGGCCGAGATTGTGTGAGGAGGGTCCAGCAGAACATTCTCCCCACTCTGCCGTCCTCCCCAACGCTATCCGACATCATCCTTCAACGATAGCAGCACCGTTCTTTTGTCTGGAATCAGTGTCCTCCTGTACCGCCTACACCATAAGCCCTCAATCATTGGCATCAAGGAGGATCACCCAGCTTGTGCCATAAAGATCAGCCCCGCCAAAGAGGGACATTTTCTGGGGGAAAGACCGTGGAACACAGCACTCCAGGTGGACTGTGCCTGCTGCCACCTCTTAGTTGCTAGCCCTTAAACAGAGGTAGACGCAGAGTGTATTACAAAGGTGTCCCAGACCCAGGTGGCAAGTCTTCTATGGAAATGTACCAGACCCCAGTGGAGTTGAACATGAGCCCTGAATACCAGTTGGCATCCTCAGGGCAGTGGCCAGCACCAGCCACACTGTCTGGGTCAGGTTTGAGCCGGAACCTTCTCTGCCTGCTGGCCCTGTGATTTCACCTGTGTTCTGTTCTCTCTCCCCTCTTATCCTTTCTCCCTCTCTCTGGCCATCTTGGGCGCTGTGTTCTGAAGCTACTCCAACCGCAGGTACCGTACCAGCAGCGGAGGTAATGGGCATGGCATGGGATGATGCTGGTGGAGCCCAGCCAACGTGGAGAAGGAGGGAGAGGCTTGAAATGAAAGCATGCTCCAGATTCACCCTTTCAGTGGTTGGGAAGCCAGACCATCAAGGAGGGTGGGACCAGGCTCAGATACAGTCTTCTCCCTCCACCTACTGTTTGCCCCTACTGAGAAGGAGAGTGACTTAGAAGGGGCTCTGCACACATGGGCTGCAGACCTGTTCTCTGGAGCTGGAGCTTTCTCTGAAGCTGAGTGATTACATCCTTGAACACCTGGGCCCTTGCCTAGGCTTGACATCTCAGCACAGAGAGGGTCGACAGCCTTTGAGTGGACAGCTGCGCCCCGAGAAGGAATGCTTCACTGCGAGTGGGCACAGCTGGCCTCTCTCCTCCGGTCGGGTTGCCGTGCCCTGAAAGGGTGACCTGTGGGTGAGCACGCGTGCATGCCGGCCTTGCATGCTGCATGGGGGCCCGGCCCCAGCCCTGTCACCTGCTGTGGGTTCTGGTCATTGAGAACCCATGAGCACATCTTCAGACAGAGTCAGGTGCGCCAGGATCTGGAGTGTCTGGGCACTGTGGGCTGATTGTCTCCTCGCCCTTCAGAAACCCGGCTCCTAACAGTCTTCAGCGTTAAGAACGGTCTCCATCTCGGGCTCTGGGAGGTTGGTGCACGAAAGTGAGGAGTCAGGCTGGCAGGTCCCAGCATAGAAGCCACCCTGCTGACCATGGTCTTCCTGTAAAGTCCTCATTTGTGGGCTTGAGGGACATCAGAGGGCCCTGCACCACAGAAGGCCCGGCCTCGAGCTGGAGACAGTAGACAGGGGACCCAGGGCCCCTTCACCTGCCCTCCTCTGAAGCTGAAGGAAAGCTCACCTGGCAGAGCAGAGGGTGGAAGGCCAGGGGTCGTCTAGGTTCTAGGTGTGGGGGGGGGGCACGCGCAGGGAGATGCGGGTGAGGAATCTGAGGGCTGGCTTACGAGCAGCATCCCACCTTGCCCAATTTGGTTTCCTGTCCACCTTCGCTCGTCTACCCCCCACCCCATTTTAGGCTGGTTCTGTTTCTGTTGCTCACCTAATTCCTCCGCTCGCCTTTGTTTGTCAGCCAGACCCCTGGGCGGTGCGCTGCCATCCTCTTCCCCTCCCCTAGTTCTCCTCCCCCCAACCCCCAGTAACCCAGGCTGGCAGGGGTCCGGCACCTCCCCGCAGGACCCAAACTCCTCTGCCAGGTACAAGAGAGACGTCCTGGAGACTGGGGAGAAAGCTGATCTCACACTCTGGGGGTTGCTCTGCATCAAGTTTGCAGCAGGGTCTCTTCAGGGCCTGTAACAGCGGGGCTGCAAGGCCTCCTGAGCAGGCTTAGTGAAGACAGACACAGGGAAGGCACCAGGAGAAGCAGCTCCTAGCCTTCCTGCCCCGTTCTAGCACCTGGGGACCCAAGGCTGGAGGTCTGGGGGCAGGGCAGCATGCCAGTCTCTGCTGCCCCTGTTGTGAGTGGCAGTCACAAGGGTGATAGGTGTGATTCCAGACGCCCCATCTGGTGCATTCATCTCAAGAAGGTCTGGGTTCGAGGTGTGCGGAGTGAACGCACACACTCTGGCGGCCGGTCAGCATGTTTCCCAGGCTCCCGCTCCCACGGGACATGGTCGGAGAGGCACATCGCCCTTCTTTGTAAAGACACGTGCTGAGATCATCAGCTGTTCTCGGCCTTAAATGCACGAGAACCTCTGCACAGCGCAGCATGCAGGCGTGAGGTACTGGAGCCCGGGTTCTACATCTTTGACGTGGGCCCGGTGTCCGGCCCACTGCTCCATTCCCTCTCCTCCTCCCCAAACCCGGTGGTTTGTCCCCCAACTGGTCTGTTTGTATCTTGCCCAGTAGAGATGATCCCTGTCGTGCAACTGTACCTGCTGTCTCTTAGGACAGCAGCCCATCTGTCCAGGCCATCTGCGACTTGGCCAGGGCGGCCCACGTGCCATGCGGGCATCTTTGGATTGAACCTGCCACCTGGAGATGCCTGGAAACAGCTGTCCTCGTCTGACTTTGCTCAGATCTGCGCGCGTGTGGTACGGAGTTCTGTGGCAGATTCCGGGGTCAGGAAGATGAATAAGAGACGCGTCATCTTCCTCAGTTTCCCCGCCTCCTACTCGGTGTTCCCTAAACTGGTGGGAAAACTTCAGCCATGGCAGGGTGCTGCCTGTGGGTATCAGGCTGTCTGTTAGGTGGATACTGCCTCCAGGTCAGGGCCCAGTGTGTCCAGCCCCAGGCCTCCCTCTGTCTCAGTCACCAGGCCGGGGGCTCCACCGGGCAGTGACCAGGTGCTTCTCCAGCCCGCAGTTGCTGCTGTGGCCAGAGGCGGCATCCTGGCAGTCTGTCTATCTAGCCTGGGGACCACTCTGTCAGCCCCACTTCTGTGCTTTATTCCCCTTCTGTCCTCTACTCCAGCCCCGCCCCAGGGTATGAAATCAGGTGAACCCCCTTTGACCTGAGCACAGGACGCTTTCCCCTTGGAAAATGTCCATTCCCCTTCTGCCTGTTCACACCTCTGACGGCTCACTCGCCTGACTGTCCCTTCCCTCGGAGCCTGTCCCTGTCTCTGCCCTCCATCTCCCGAGCCCCGTCCAGCCACGGGACAAGAGACACAGCTAACGAGTGGTCAGAGAATGCTTACTTGCCAGCTGTTACCTTGGGCAGCTGGGGTTGTGTCCTCCAAGGTCACTGCAGTGGTGCCTGGGAAGCAAGCTGTTCTTCCTTCCCTCTTGTGCCTCTCGGTCCCTCTCACTCACGCCCTGAGACTGTTGCCACTGAGCAAGGGAGCAGTGACTGGGTAGCCATCACCAGAGAGAATCACCCCCTTCAGTCACACTTGGCGAAAGGGACCCTCAGAGGGAGGGAAGGAGGCTGGGTGGGAGTGTCCTCAAGCCATTTGTCATTCTGGTGTCTGACTGGCCGGCCCGGGAGGGCCGCTCTGACGAGCCTGTCCCAGCACCGCTGTCACCCAGGCTGCTGGCTGGGGCGCACGGGGTCGAGTGTGTGAGCCTGGCTGTGTGCGTGTGAGTGTGTGTGTCTCGGCTGGTACAAGGACTGAGGGGCGTGTGAGCGATGGATGGCCCGGGAACTGTAGCCCCACGATGTGTACGGGCAGGGAGCCCAGGTCTGCGCCACACACAGTGGGGTGACTGAAGTTAAAAGGGAGTCTTTCAAGGTTTTTTTATGGTACCTTTAGAAGAATCAGAAAAGCATTGTATTTGCCAGAAACTGTTAGAAAATATACTGCTGGTAAGGAACCAAACTGGGGCAGTCCTAGGTGAGCTGGACAGAGCAGCCTCTCCAGGCTCCGTCCAACAGCACAGAGCAGGAGTGACCACGGCCGTGGCAACCACCAGGCAGGTCTGGGAGAGAGCCGGCCTTGGCCTGGCCTCTCAGACCTTTGACATCCGCCTTTCTGTCTTGGTGGGTGGGATCGACGGAGTCCCTCATGCTGAGCCTTTACAGCCCTGAGCCTCCCAGGCCCGGGGCCCCTTGGACAGAATATACCCTTGAATAAGGACTGTGGGAGGGAATTTGTCCCCTTGTCCCCACCCCACACCCCCACACCCCCACCCTCCTGAGGTCTTCGAGCTGACCAGGGCTTGAGGAATGTAGCACTGCCTGCTTTGACTTTGACTGGAATGTGTTCATGTTCGTCAGCTGCCCAGTGTGACTTCTGTGGTCAGCACACCCCAGGCCTAATAATGCCTCTGACCTTGTGGATGGGGAAGTAACAAGGGGCCCCAGGAACAGCCCCCCCTCTGTGGGGTCTTGTAAGGTTTGAGGCCCAGGGAAATGAAAAGACTTTCATTGGTCAGGCTTCTGTTGAGAAAGCTTAGGATCTCTCAGTTCTCCCTGGAAAAAGTACTCGGACAGTTTTCTCTCTGGCTCCCTCCCTGGTGTGGCGCCCTGTTGTGCGGGTGGGAATATTGTTTTCCTGAGCCTGTGGAGATTTGCGGTAGGGTGGCGTCAGTGTTCCTTGGAAGTGAGCGTTACCTGCTTGTGTCTTAACACCCTGCCTACTGCCGGTTAGCACTGACACTGGCAGGTAGACTTGACCAGGTGCCAGGAGACAGAGCACCGGGGGGCGAGGCAGCGGTCTCTCTGATTTGCCCCATTATGCTTCTCTTACCCCCAGGCTGTAGCAGCAGAGAGTAATAGTGCAGTTTTCGGTTAGCTTCCTGGACCCTTCTTGGGAGGAAACAGGCCACATTCCGTAGACTTCGCCCCAAGGGCTGACCTGTGTGGGAGGCTGGCTTCGGATGGAAGGGAAGAGCAGGAGAGTTCGTACCCCCTGAAGCTCTATGTGAAAAAGAAGACAGCACGAATCTCACTTGCGTCCTGGGGATTCTGTGTCTACTGTGGGCTGGGAAGGGCTGCTTCCGTTCATGCGCTTTCCCTGTTCCGATGCAAAGCAAGAGGACTTGGGATACCTGGACCCGAAATGTCCTGGAGAGAAAGGCAGTTCCCACAGTCCAGGGTGGAATGGGTGACTGCAGGGAGGACTGTCACTGGTGGGGGAGAAGGGAGGAGGGGCCGGGTGGGTTGCCATGGGGGCGGGAGAGACAACCCCGTTGTAGGCTCTGAAGTGTGGAGACTGCTCTCTCTGGTGGCACTGGAGCTCATGCAGGCGGGGAAAGGGTACTTTTGGAGTGAGTGGTTGGGAATGGCAGGCTTCCTGGGACTCCTGTCGGACAGGACCTGGCTGCCGGCCCCTCTCCAGGGCCAGGCTCGGGGGCTGGACCGACGTGCTGTGCAGCCTGTGTCTGGGTGGTCTTGGCCTGGGACCCTGTGCCGTCGTCCTTGAGGTCTGAGCAATTCGGTACGTGTCCCTTTCCATCCTCGTCCCTGCCTTGGCTGGATGCATGCTGGGTGCTTTGAGCCATAGACCATGAGAAGAAAATGAAACACACACAGGGCTTCATTCTCTTCCTGTCACATGGTGTGTGTCCTTTCGCTGTGATCATGTGACCCAGCCCGTCCATCGTGCTTGGGGAGGCAGCTGATTACTAAGCTCCATCTCATCACTGGGCTGCCTGCCTGCCTGCCTGTCACACGGGGGCCACACGTCCAGGCTGGGAACAGCCAAACCAACCAGACTCGGCTGTTTTACATTTTCCTCTCAGCTCCTCCCACGTTGCCCCCGACCACAGTGGCTGCCACGGGCACCATGAGCAGTGCTGATGCTACTGCCATTGCTGCCACCACCGAAGCCACAACAGTCCCCATCGTCCCAACTGTCGCACCTACCACCGTCGCCACCACCGTCGCCACAACTACTACAACCACTGCCGCCACCACCATGGAGAGTCCTCCCGCCATCTGGACTAAGACACACGAATCCGGTACTGCCCACTGCCCATGCCCCCCACCCTTCACCCACAGGCACCCCAGACCGGAGGGTCTGGGATGGTGGTGGCCAGCCCCTCCCTTTGCTCCTGCTTTGGAAACACAGTTGGATTCTCAGTCCGGTGGCCTCCTGGCACAGGGTAGCCCCGCCCACCCCTTGGATGGTTCTCCACCACTTCATTGCCCTCGTCCTCACCTTAGATCCCTGTCCTTTAACAGAGATCCACACGCCTCAGGCAGGACATCTGGGTCCCACACAGTGGGGCTGCCTCCAGCTACATGCCAAGCAGTCAGCTTGGGGAAGGACAGGGGCCCGACCCTGGCCAACTGTCCCAAGAAGCCTCCCTGCCCGGCCACACCACGTCTAACCCTGCAGCGCAGAGGGCTGAGGCGTGGCAAGCGGCCGGCCTCCATGGCCCCTCTCTCCCCAGGTCACACTTAAGACTTTTCTCTTGAGAAGTCGGAGCTTCCAGGAGCGTGCCGCCTGAAGGTGCTCTGTTTCCCTTCCCACTCGCACTCCCCACACTTGGGAAGGTCACAGCCTTTCCAGGGGCCCCTGGCGGGAGCCGACCGCAGTCTAGCCTGCTGAGCCCGGGCAGGTGCTGCTCCCGCATCGCCCAGCCGGGCCAGGCAGCTCTGGTCCTCAGGCATGAGGAGACCCCTCAGGGATCCAAACGTGTTTCTAAGAATGGAGCATCAAACACTCTTATTACCAGAGGGGGCCCTCTAGCTTGCAGAACCCCCAGGCCAGCTGTAAAACCAGTGATGTGGCCAGACCTCACCCCTGACCTCTAACTGCCAGGACACAGGGAGGGCCCGGCCACGCCCCCGATCTTACCCTTAGAACTTAGGAGCCATCCTCATGCCCCTTCATGCAGCATGATGGCTCTGCTGCCCGGGATTTTTAAAAGAAAGTATCGTTTTTCTCATGTCTTCCATCTTAGGACTAAAAGTTTACTTTTTTCAGGGTAAATAAGTTAGACTTTTTATTTGTACTGTCTCCTTCAGATTTCAAGGGATTCCCCCCAATTCTCACCTTCTAGGAGTCAGCAGAACAGCCCGCGCTGCGCCTCACTTGCCTTCTTGTTTCGTTGGTGATCAGTGGCTCTCCCATTTGGTCTCTCTCTTCTGACTTTTCGGGTCTTTAGTGGTCATTGTCTTGACCCCTCTCTATGGCGGTGCCTTCCCCCAACTTCCATGTCTAAACTGTTTTGGTTTCCCATCACTTGACCTTTGCGGATAGTGCCCCAATCTAACTGACCTTTAAGACAGTGAGATTTTAACCAATGTTGTACTGATGCAAACCGATTAAACCTGATTCTTGGGCTATTTCCAGGCCCCCAAGCTGAGGAGGAGGAAACTCAAGCCCCTTAATTGTGACTAATCCTAATTCATTCTCACTAGCAAGAGCCATGAGACCCCTGGAGCTGGGGGATTGGGGTGGGCCAGAGCAGCCAGTACAGTGGGAGCGTCTGGAGATGAGTAAGAAGCGCGCTCCTGCCCTCCCCCAGGAGAATGCCCTGCGGTGCCATCAGTGAAGGCTCTTTCTTGGTCTCTCGCGTAATATGAATCATGATCACCTGGGGCAAACAGCGGCCGACAAGGTTGCAGGAGAGAAGGCACTTCTTCGAAGTGAAGACCAGATCTTTTATCACTTCCCCAGCCCTGCAGACTCAGTAACAAGTCAAATAATCAGCAGATCCGTCAGCGGTGTACTCCGTCTGCATTTGCCCGGGCTGTTGGTGACAGTGCCCCCTTGCATGCTAATAAAATATACAGGAGCCATACTTGTAAAGTCTTTGAAATACAAGGCCCCATGCTAGTACTCCACTATTAAATCTTTGCTTGGAAATGAGGTAATCAGGCTGCTGGGACTCTTGAAAAATGATTACGTTTGAAGAGTAGCACCGTTCTCCTGTCCACAGGCTATGGTGGCAGGCAGTGCAGCAGCTTTGATGAAGTAGTTCCTAGCTCGTAGGAACCAGATAATTAATGTTTTCTGTGCTACGTAGAGATCGAGCTTCAAAGGCTGTGGTGCTGAAAAGCCAACAGAATGGGATTCTTCTGATGTCTGCACCACTGAGGGCTGGCTGTCGAAAAGCAGTCGTCTTTTCTTGGTCCCGCCTGGCCCACGAGAAGGGCAGGAAGGGTTCGTGCTGTCTCTACTTGGGACGCTAAGACCCCAAGTGTCCTTAGACAACCTGAGGCCATTCTTCACATGGTCCAGGGTTTTGGTGACCTAGAACAACCCCAGGGGCTCCTCCAACCAGAGTCCCTGTCTGGTCGCCATCTCCTCCTCCAGTTTTAGGAGCCCATAAAGGTTTTCCTGTGTTCGGTCCTGTCCTTCCTGCAAATCTCATCGTGACTCTTTGAAAGGTCCCTCCCTCCTTCCTGTAGAACGCCAATTCCCCTCTGTGTACTTGAGCCCACAGGCTTTTCCTGGCCTCTTTCACTGTGCCATTCACATCCATAGCTGATCTGAAAGGGAATGAGCCCAGGTTAGAGCCTGCAATAATGTGGCTCAAAAGTCACTCTCATTCGCACCCCAGCTGCGTGGACATACAGACCACTGATTGCCCTCCCTTACATATGCACCCCCACTGCACCTGCTTGTACCTGGATGGCGACCTCAGGCCTGGCCTCCAAGGCTGCAGCTTGGAGCTCTGTCGGGCCCCATGCACAGCCACTTGTGACTCTTCCCTTTCCTGGCCGCGTGCATCTGTCTGTCTGTCTGTCTCTCTGTCCCCAGCGCTGCTCCTTCCTCATCACTAACTCCTCTTCTAACCTGCCCACCAGCCCCCGATGAGCAGTCCATATGGAACGTCACGGTGCTCCCCAACAGTAAATGGGCCAACATCACCTGGAAGCACAATTTCGGGCCCGGAACTGACTTTGTGGTTGAGTACATCGACAGTAAGCATTGCTGTGTGGGGTGGTGGCAGCGGCGGCCGCTGCAGCGGGCAGCGCAGGTGCCGCTACAAAGAGCCCATGAGCTCCCCCAGGCTCAGAGAGGCCTGTCAGCCTGGCCTACCTGTGACTTGATGAAACACGTGTGCTCAGACTGCAGTTAGGTGGGAGGAACAGGCTTAAGAAGAAGGGAGGGCATTCTGCAGCCATTAGTGAGGTCTGGGGTTGCGTGTGCTGGGGAGGCCCCGAGTAATGGGGCCCTCCACCCACTTCCTGCTCAGGATGAAGGTTCTGAATAGCCCCCAAATGAGCCAAAAATCTCACCTCTACATGGATCTCCTTAACTCAGAATCCATGCTTTCTGATATCCCCACTAGATAGCCGGGGTTGGGTCAGACTTAGGGTGCAATTGGGCTTTGCTCAGAAGGATGCCAGTGGCCATGGGGACACAGACCAGGGGGATTCATCTTGGAGAGCCGGTGGCTCGAACTGAGCTGTCCACACTCTGCTGGATCCTGGGGTCACGAGTGCAGGTCTGTTGAACTGTAGAGGGAAGGCCCCTGTTTCTGAGGGTCGGGCCCACTGTGTAGGCCTCTTCAGCATGGACTATAAGCAAGTAGGCCAGCTCCCCTGGTGGGGAGCCACCGAAGGTCTCCCAGGGAAAAACGACAGCCCTTAGTTGTCTGGGTGGAGGGGATTCACATCCACAGAATCCAGAATCCTGAGTTTGGGCCTGTTTTCAGCCTCCTCCCACCCACTGGCACAGATACATGGTACCCTCTCCTGCTGATGGGTGAATCCAGCACATGGGGAGACATTAAGAGGCCTCTCCGGGGACCCTGGGGGAGGCTGCCTGGCCCACTGGCCTTCTTCAGGGTAACGGCATTGGCTGACACCCTGAGAGTTTAAGGAAGGGGGTGTAGTACTAAGACTAGTGAGGAAGGCTCCGAGAGAGGGAACAGTGTCCTCCGCTGAAGGGCTGGCCCGTGGGGGAGTGGGCACTGCGTGGTAGTGCTGGTGTTGGAGCTGCCTGGCCACCTCCTGGTCTGTGCAGTGGCCTGGCCCCGCCGGCCCCAGCCCTCCCCGCCCCCCTCCTGCCCCCACTTCTACCTTCACGGGTGGCAGGGACCTAAGCGCTGCCCCTCCAGCTGCTCACACCTGGCCCTGGGCTGACTGAGGTTTCTGTTCCCCAGGCAACCATACGAAAAAAACTGTCCCTGTTAAGGCCCAGGCCCAGCCTGTGCAGCTGACAGACCTCTATCCCGGGATGACATACACATTGCGAATTTATTCCCGGGACAACGAGGGCATCAGCAGTGCCATCATCACCTTTATGACCAGTACAGGTGAGAGGGGATCGGCCTGGCCGTCCCCTACAAGCATGGGCATTTCATCCTCATTCTCAGCTTCCTGCTTGAAAATGCTCCTGAGAAAAAAGACCCTCCCCACCCACTCCCCACCTTGCATGGCGTGTCTCAGCTCTTATACTCTGCAGCTCCCGACAAGACCAGAGGAGCCAAAAATGCATGCACAGTGGAGAGGCAACCGCGCTTCTAACCCTGTGGGGACAAGTGGGGTGCCAGGGAAACATTGTAGAATAAGGACGAAGGGGCCACCTGCCTTCCCCGCTGTGCTCCAAACAGGGGCTTGGTGTGCGCACGTGGTCCCTGCGGGTGGGTGTGGGGCTGCTGGCCTGCAGCACCCCCGGCCCAGGACACAGGCTGGCTTCCTGCCCACGGGACTCGGGGGCAGGGTCATCCAAAGGCCTTGCCCGGGGGATTTCCCCAGGAAACAAGTGAGAGGTCAGCGCGTGTGTCGCTGCCTTGTCACTGTTGTCTGTTGTTAACAAATTCCAAAGTGTGTTTGTTATGGAAGTTGTTTAGGATTTGTTTTGATTTCATTATTGTCCTAAGTTTGTTATGGCTTAAAAGTGGGTGACCCCTTGTTGCACTGAGGGAAAGGAGGAAGCTTTCCTGGAAGGGAGTCGCTCCGGCTCTAACAGGCTCCAGCTGCGAACAGAGTAGCACCTTCACTGTGCCACGCGGGCAGGCAGCGGGGTCATAAAGGGTCCAAGGCTCAGAGACCTCTGCCGGGCCGGCCGCTGGCCGTCTGGAGTGGTGAGGGTGCTTGCTTGTCTGATTCTGTGTATATTTAAAATCAGGCAGGTGGCGGGCTAAGTAAGCCCTGAGGCTAAAGAGTGGGGTGGGGAGAGGGAGACTGGTCTCTGCCCCCAGGGAAGTCTTAATCCCAGGGAAGATGTCTTCCCAGGGAAGACAAGGATAGAGAGAAAAACACCGCAGTGACTTATGTGAACCTCTGAGTGTTGACTGAAAGATTCAATTATTCTTCCTGTGCCTGGACCTGGGAGACTGATCCTGGTAGTCACATCTTGTGAGTCACTGCCCATCTGCAGAAATGTCTCTCCTCCCTTTCTAGCCCGATCCCTCCCAGCCTTGGTGTCCTGTCCTCCCCATGTCTCCACCTGTCATGCATATGTCTGTGCCATCAAGATGCAGATGCTGCTTGGAGCTGGCCAGGCCCACTCAGGCAGGGGGTCTGTGAGCGGCCGGGCTGTCCTAGAGCCAGGAGAGGACAGTTGACCAAGCAGAGCAGGTGGCTGGACTCTGTGGGCGTCCTGAGCTGCTGCTCACTGGTGCATGCGTTTGGTGTTGCTTCATTACAAAGTCCAGTCCAGCACAGAGGCAGGAAGCAAAGACAAGATTCGAAGATTGAGTTCCATCCTGGGGATGCTGCAGAAGCCTGTGCAGCCTGCTCCGGAGAGAGACTTCTCCCAGTGCTGTGGGTGGGGGTGGGGAGAAAGAGCCAGAGAGCCAAGGGGTGTCCCAATCTGCTTCAAGGTATTAAACTCACAAGTCAAAACAAAAAACAAACAACAACAACAAAACAATGACCACTGATAATACACTTCTGAGCACTGACTCAAACGTTCATTTCTCTTCCTGTGGGTGACTTGAAGAGGCCGATCCTGATAGCTTGCTTTTACAGTGAGTGAGACAGTTAGCACTTACAAATTTTCCTGGTTCCTTCCACTGCAAGCTGGAAGGAGCAGATGTAGGACCTTAGCTTTGAGCACAAAGTGCTCGCTTACCCTCTGGTGGGCTGGAATTACATAGGGAAAGAAAACATCGTCACTCTCTGAAGCTTGTGTGTGCCTGTGCAGAGTAATTAAATGCAGTGTTTGCTGTGGGTGGGCCCCAGGGCCAGTTCACGGGTTCCCCCAGGTCCCACCTGTCATCAAACTAAGAGTCTGTGGGCCTCTCTGGACCTGACCCCTGCTCATTTAGGCAACCACAGGCCATCACTCCAGTCCTCAGACTCACACACATTTTAGTGGTTCAGGAAAGAAAGGCAGGAAAACACCAGGAATGATGGGCTCCCTGCTCCTCTCCAGAAAGATCCCACATGGGGAGTTAACCACCTCCTTCAAGCTCTTGAAGCCAAAGAAGCCTGAGGGGCTCCAGACAATAGCCCTGGGCTCCAAGAGGCCAGTCAGCTCTTCCATCATGAGTGGGCAGCGTGGGGTGAGGCAGTAGTGCAGTGGATCTGCCAGCGGGGTCAGCAAGACGGAGAGCAGTGCACCTCAGATCTCAGGAGCGTAGGAGACAGGGGCGGTGAAGGCCCTGACTGCAGTCGGCCTCGCTCTGCTGTTTGGGAGACTTGGGACAGGACAAGGCGGGAGTGGAGTGTGTAAACTGATGCCTAAGCGAGAACAGCTAAGCCAAACTGCATTTGAAGAAAGTCCATGTCTATTGTATTTGTTCATCCATCCTTATTTCTAAAACATAATTCTGCCCACCTTGAATGACTGGCCAAATCAAATTCCTCCTGATCGGTCAGGAGCCATGGCTGCTGCACCTTGGGGACGACTTGCTCGTTTCTGAGCAGGGCTGCAGGCGGTGATATGGAAGACGCACAGAATACGGCCCCTGGTCCAGAGTAAGAGGCATGGTGCCTGCCTGTGTTTGCCAGGCTAAGCTCACCTCACCCCTTGGTTTGTTTTTTATTTTCAATGGAAACATTATTGGCATGTAGTAGCATTTATCACTTAGTTTTAGATGCATAACAATGATTTGCTATTTGTATATATTGTGAAATGATTACCATATTAACATTCATCACCAAGCATAGTTATAAACTTCATTGAAGTTTGAACAGACTTATGTGTGCAGACTTCATAGAAAATGCTTTGACCATTTTGGTAAGGACTGAAAATAGCATTTGAACTTTGCATGGTAAAGTCAGGAATAGAAAGACACATTTGCTTCTAAATTGCCCATGCGGGCACTTTCCCTGGAATTGTGGCTTTTCCTGCCATGGGAAAGGGAGTCTGTAGAGACATCTGTCGGCAGGCGTCAGAGCGGGCGTCAGAAAGGGGGTGGGGCAGGCAGGTCACTGCAGGCACGCACACCAGCTTCTCCTCAAAAGGGGGCGCCACTGTCTGCACGCGGGGAAGTGATCCCTTCACCCCAGTGCCCAGATGTGGCTCACAGGCGAGCTGTTAGCCCTGTGACCCCGAGCTGGCATGAAGGAAGAAACTAAAGCAGTTACCCATATCATATTAGGGTTAAATTGATAATAAGTAGTCACCACTACTTGTTATGTGACCAGCACCATGCCAAGTACTAGGGGGCTCAAAGAATCCCCTGTTCTCAAGCCTTTAACAGGGTCATTGGAAATCAGGACCCAGGAAACAGCAATTAAATGTTATGGGAACAAAGGGAGCTCAGACTGGTGTGAGCTGGAGCAACGGGAGATTCGGGAAGGAGGGTAGAAGGGAGGAGAGCAAGGGGGGCGGCATTGCAAGCGCCCCTGGGCAGGGAGGGGAAGACCAGGGTGCTTGGCTTTCGTGGAAGTGTACTAGAAAAAGAACAGCGTGAGGTGTCCTACCCTGGGATCTGATGGGCAGAGGGTAAGGGGTCCCCTCTGGGGTGGAGCAATGAGGCGAATATGAGAGACTGGTAACTCTTAGAGGTCGGGAGAATGGTGAAGTCACTGGCCAGAGCAGAGAGCTTGTAGGAAGACCCATGTTGAATTTCAAGCAGATGGGCCATTCAAGGAGCTGTTAGGAGGAGGCACTGGACTTGTGGTGTGGAACTGGCTATAGGGACAATGAGAGATGAATAAAAGAATCGTCCCTTGGAATGTTGGGAGTGGAGGACTGTGCAGGTAAGAGTCAAGGACTCAGAGGTGCGTTTGGGAAAGAGCCACTCCCTGGCGGTACGTGAAGCACCACTGAGCATTGAGGGGCTTTGAGTTGGCTTGTTGGGGGTGGAGAAAGGAGTTGGCGACAACTGGAAGCAAGGGAAGATTGAGATTACATAAAAAAGGACAGGACAGAGCTGAAAAGCTTGGCAGGTTCCTCAGCGGGGTTTATTTTAAGATACAGGAAAATTCAATGTATGTAATGGCAGAAGGGAGGAGACAGCGAAAGAAGAAGCTGAAAACGCTACGATTTCCAGCGATCCTCTCGGGTGTGAGCCACCAGGGCGGTGAGGCCCGGGCCTGGCCACCGAGGGAGGAGCCCTGCCTGCCCCGGGAGGGGGCTGGTTGTAGAGGCTGAGGCTTCACTGGCCTCCACAGCTGACCAGAGGGGGTGGGGGCAGGGTCCCGTGTGGGAGGAGCAGTTTGGAAGAACCGTGGGACACGCCGGCAGGGTTGCCAGGCAGCAGTGAAGGCCCAGGGGAGGCGTGACTGACGGCCTCACATCTTCCCCCAGCGGGGTCCGTGGCATGAGCTGAAAATGCAGGGATGGGGTGACAAAGGAAGGACAGGGAGGAGCATGCGGTTAGCAGAGGCCCCATCAGGCCAGAGGAGGGCGAGTGGGCCTAGTGAAGGGAAGGAAGTGGAGGGCGCGACCAAGGGGTCGCCGCGTCGCCCGCTGGGGAGGCCGCAGTAAACCCGCCAGGCCCCCTTCCAGGAGCTCGTCTTCCCGGTGGAAGGACGAGAGTGGGAAAGAGCAGACTCACCTCGACCACTTACTGGTTTTGCGACCTGGAGTAAATCACTCGACCTCCGTGGCCCAGTGGCCCCACCTATGAAGTAGGGGTAATGACCCAGTCCCGCTCTGCGCTCTGCGGGGCTGTTGGGAGGGTCGTACTAGAGAGTATGTGCGAAAGGACCGAGAGCACGGCCCGTGGGGAGCGCTGGTGAGAGCGCCGTTAGCCGTGGTAGTGACACAGCAGCCCCCTGGTCTGTGGGCACTGCGCTCCGAAAATACTACCTTTCCCCACTGTCGGCAGGGCCCCCAAAGCAGGTGCTCCTCCTGTTGTCGTGTTGTCAGAGGGTCAGCAGAGCCTGACATTAAGGCCCTACGCCCACGCCGTCCACCGCACTTCGTCTCCAGGGGGCGCTGTATCATCCTACATCACAGGAAGGGAGGGTGCGCTACCTTGAGGTATTTTGACAGAGACCCCATTCATATCACTTTTATCACAGTGTATGGTTATAATTCTTCTATTTTATTATTGTTAATCCTTTTTATGTATAATGTATAAATTATACTTTACCATAGATCATGTATATGTATAGGGAAAAACATAGGGCTTGGTACTATCCACACTTTCAGGCATCCACTCGGGGTCTTGGCGTGCACCCCCAGCTTACACAGACTACGGGAACTGCTGGGTGACTGTCATATGGTTACAAGTGCTATGAAAATGGCAGGGTTCTCAGAGCGACTGGCTAGGGAGAGAGACTCTGCTTCAGCTGGAAGATCCAGAAAGACCTCTCTGAGAAGCTGACATTTGCTGAGATGGATTTGAAGAACGAGCAAAGTCCCGGAGGCAGGAACAAGAGTGGCTGTGTGGCTGAGGCATAGAGAGGCAGCCGGTGGCACGGGGAGGGACCAGGGTCAGCTCGGGTGGGACCTGACAGGTTGGGGTGGGGAATGGAAGTTTTCCCACTAGTGATGAGACGCACCAGAGGTTCAAGCAGCGAGTGAGTTGGTCTCACAGGGGGCTGGGGAAGAATCCCTCTGACAGGAATAGGGGCAGGAATGGGCATTCCCCCGCAACATGTGTAGGTCAAGGCAGCCAGCCACGGTCTGCGGAACTCACCTGCCTCTCAGCCTGGGCTTGGAGAGCATGGCCACGCTTGGTCATCAGCCTCCACCACTGACTGAGACTACCCTGGTACAGTGCCCTTGGCTGGGTTCTGGGAAGACAGTGTCTCAGCCCAAGGGGAGCAAAAGGTGGGACCTGCTGTACAAGGGAGCACTTGATGAAGACCCTGGAGCACCCCTCTGCTCCCCGGAGGAGGCCCGTGCCTGGAGGTGTCACTTTTGTTCTCCGGTCCATAGCAAGGAGCGTGGCAAGTGGGTCCTCCCCAACTCACGCTGCCTCCTGAGCCCAAACCCCAGCCTTTGGGTCATCCAGCAACGAACAGATGGTGCCTGAATGCCTGTCTTTTAGACTCACCCACATGCCCTTGCAGTCACACAGGAGTCTGTCCATTTGGAGAGACTCGCTGTCACGGGACAGCTTGTCACCGCTGCGGTAGAGGAGGTGGGTCTTCCATGTGGAAGTGGTCTGAAGTGTCACGGTGTGCACTGAAGGCACGGCCCCAGCCTCGCCACCAGCTGTCTAGGGGACTAACACAGAGACTGTCCTTGCTTCTGGGAGTGTGCAGTCCGGTTGGGGAGATGTGAGAAAGCATGGGTGTTCTGCGCCTGCAGCCTGTCCAGACCCACTGCCAGGAAGCCTGGGTGGCTTCGGGGCCACGCCGGCGGGCAAGGCTGCCGCTCCGGGCCTGTGCAGCCCCCTGAAGATGCTCTCACAAGGGGTGTTGCATCGTGACCTGGCCAAGTTCTCTGATGGGTGGCACGTGGGCCCCATTTCCTCACCCCTGGCTCACTGACGGAACCAGACCTCCGTGGCCAGTCCTGACCTTCCCTCAGTCCCCGCAGGCTCTCGCCAGGATGTGGTTTACAAAAACGCCATGCCTTGTTCTTAGGGAAGCTTCCCCTTCCTAACGGGCCTGCTTATTCTGCTCCCTGTCTCCCTTCCTCTGCCTCTTTTCTGACCTTTGACCTTGGCTCCTTAATTATTTTCTCTTTGTCCCTGTATTGGGCAATTTGGGCCAGAGGGCTGCTATGTTGTAGCATTAGGCTCCAGAAGGAACATGGATGTGAAGTAGCCGAAGCTGTTCCCTCATGTCTCCCTCCTCACCTTCCCCCATGCGAAACCCTTCATGTGTTTGCTTGTGCCCCACCCCCCAGCTTACACCAACAACCAGACTGACATCGCCACCCAGGGCTGGTTCATTGGGCTCATGTGTGCCATTGCCCTCCTGGTGCTGATTCTGCTCATCGTCTGCTTCATCAAGAGGAGTCGCGGTGGCAAGTACCCAGGTGAGAGTGTCAGGGGAGTCGGCTTGGGGACTGTCTGCTGCCACATCCGGGCGAGGGCTCCGCTCTCTCAGCGAGCCCAACTCTAGCCAAGCTTGAAAGCAGTCCTCTTCTTGCCTGTTCTGTGCATCTTCGAGCTGCCAGAAAGCACTCGACTTAATTAAGTTTGCTTGAGGTGGGTGGGTGGAGCGGTCCAGGCAGCTTCAGAGGGCGGATGGAAGGAGCGCTGGTCCCTATTAAGAATGACCTTCCCTTCCCTTGATTCACCATCCATCTGCTCAGTGAATTGACTTTTTTTCAGACTGAATCTCTTTAGAATCCCGTGTCCCAGGGAAGGAGGAAGGAGGAGAGGCATTTTCTCTAACCGGGAGAGAGTGTGGTGAGGAGGGGTCTGGGCACAGGAGGCACACCCAGCGGTAGAGCCGGGCTCTTGGCGTGACGAGCGTGTCATTACAGACACCCTGACAGAGGACAGAAGCTCCCAAGTGAGGAGCAGGTGGAAGCTGAGGGGAAGGTTGCATGGGTAGGGACCCTCCTGGCTATTCAAGTGCTTTGGGCTTCCCTGAGGTCCCGAAGGGGCATTTCTCTTCTCTAGGTCTCAGATCCTCCAGCCCAGATAAGCCAAGGTCATGGACAAGGACCACCGATATTCTTATTTCTAGAAATATTGATTGTTTTTCAGATGGGCCAGAAAGCCATCTGTCTGCAGTGGGTTGGGCAGGGAGACAGGATAATGGATGACCTGAGAGCAGAAGTCCTACTGGGCTGCAGAGTGAAATTGCTCCTTGCCCCAAAGCTCTAGCAGCCAGACATGTCCCGTGCTCCCCAAATGCCTGCTGCCCCCATCTCTGTGAACAAATCCTCCTCCAGGACCCGCCTCAGACTTGGAGAGAGAGGACATGCAATTTACTCCCTTCCCCTGCCCCTTACCCCAACCTCGGGTATCTGAAGAGTTAGGCCTCTCCTTAAAGTAAGGGAGGCATTGGGGGGGGGGGCAAGAAATGACCCCTCTTGTTTTGGTAAATTGTGTTTTCCTCCACACTGTCGTGCATTCTCGGGGTTGTTTTTCTTCTGTAAGGGAGGAAGCCAGAGTCAGCGCGATGGGCGGTCTCACTGAGCTCGCCTCCCTGTTCCAAATGGAACTGGGGCACCTGAAGGACTCATCAGGCACACTCTGAGCCTTCCTTTGCCCATCAGAAAGCACCCACTACTGTTGTTTTTACAGCCACCCTCCCTCCCTCCAGCCGCAGGGTGACCCCTACCCCTAGTCCATCAGAAAGGTAAGGGAACTAGGAGCCAGGAGGAGGCCGGGGCCTTATCCTCACTCCAGACTTAGTTGCCAGTTTGTCATGTGAGGTGACCTTCACTTCTCATGGCCTGTTATCCTCCCCTAAAATGGGGGTGATTATCTTTTCTTACACCCCCCCAAAAAATACAGAAAGGGCTGTCCATGTAAGTGTCCACTGGCTACCTAAGTGCAGAGTGGTAAGGATTCTAGGAGGAAAGCTGATCTCTCCATCAGGGACATTTCAGCTGGCACAGAAGGAAGATCACAGCATGAGACAGGGCCCTGAAGGATGCTGCCAGGTCCCAGAGGAGGTGTGGGGAGAGGGAGCCCTACAAACAGGCGAGGTCACAACCCTTGCTGTGCAGAGAGACATGTGGTCCTCCACCCGGAAGGAAGGAACCAGCATTTCATCACAGGCATAAGAAACGCACACAGGTGATTGTCAAACAGAGCAGAACAAGAAAGGTGCCAAGGAAAGCCTCACGTCCATTTGGTGTTTGGGGAAGACCTCAGGGAGAGGTGGGGGGAGAATTTCATTGTCAATGGAGGTTTAAGGAAACCCCTGGTGAGGAGGAGGAGGAGATGGAATCAACTCGGCCACTGACTGATGTGGGAAGCAAGAACTAGGGAGGCATTGATGGTGCCTCACTGAAAGGGAGAGTGTCACTGAACCCAAAGGTGGTGTCCTCGGGCTCTATGGCCAGGGCTCCGGAGAGCAGGGACGTGCTCAGTCATGCTGTCTGTGTCTTTGCTTCTCTTATTGACCAAGTGCGAGAAAAGAAGGATGTTCCCCTTGGCCCTGAAGACCCTAAAGAAGAGGATGGCTCATTTGACTACAGGTGCGTCATCTCCTTGGCTTCCGTTCGCACACAGCGTCCCCTGTCGGTGGACTGTACTCACTGCCCTGAGCAGTGCCCTCCCCTCAGAGCCCTGGGCCTGACCCACAGGCCACTGCACCAACATCCTCTCCCATCACCGTGGGCGGCTGCCTCTGCCTCTCCGACAGCATCTGCTTGTCGTGGCTGTGCTGGCCCAGGCCGCCCCCATGAGACCCGACAAACGCATTCCGTGAACGGCACTTACCACTCAGCTGCACAACTCAGACTCACCGAGCTCCTGATATATGTTCCCACCATTTACTCTGCAAATGAGCTCCAGGTCCTCTTTGCTGATAAATGAGCTCAGCTCTCAGCTTCCCCTCTGCTAACACCCCACGCCAGCCTGCAGATAATGCCCCAGGCAGGCTGTGCTGTCCTAAAGGAAGCATGGACTGGATGAGGGACAAAGGGCAGTGGGGGGGGGGTGGCTCTAGGCCTTTTCCTCATGAACTTGAACAATATCTCTGGCTTTTAGCCTAAAATAGGCCCACCCCACCCAGTCCCTCTCTGAACCAGGCCACCCCTGTCCTCCTCTGACCTCCGGATTCCATCCTGGGCCTCTGCCACTTTGCCCGTCAGCAGCCCAGCAAGCAGGATCGGATCAACGGGCAGCACAGCCTCGGCCCACACTGGAGCCTGTCTGGCGGCTTAGGGACCACGTCCATCCTTCCAGTCCTAACATCCCTGTAAGCCCTGCAGAAGGCAAGCACAAGAGGCTCCTCCTCTGACTGTCCTCAGGACGCTTGGAGGGAAGCCCAACGCCTTCATAAGCTGAGAGCTATTCCCTGGCCATGGGTTCCAAAGGTTGTGGGCTTTCTCTGCCCCCAGCCCTCAGGGTAGCCTCAGAAGAGGGACACGGGCCTCCTCAAATACAGCACCAGAGGGCCTGTGCTATAAGAAGCTGCTTCCGCAGGCGCCTCTGCTCCCCTAGACCCCGAAGCTGGTGGGCAAAGCCCTTGCCTCTTTCCCACCCACCGCACCCTACTGACACGGGCTGGATAGGCACGCGCGGGCCACACACCATGCTGGCATCTGGAATGCACACACACCCGCCCCCAACTTTGGGTCTGGGTGGGGGAGTGGGGAGCAGGAGGGGAATGGGTGGGGTCTGCAGCATTCATCCTAGAGCCCCTCCTGGGATGCACCCTCAAGTCCTAAACCGGGAAAGGGCTGAAATGGATACATCAGAGGAAAACCGGACTTTCTAGACAGGCCTGGGGGCAAGGAGGGGTGCCCTGCCCCACTCTTTGGCCTGGCTCCCAAAGCGCCTCCCCCGAAAGGCTCCCTCTGCGCCCCTCCCCGTGTCTGTCCACCTGGTCCTTGAAGTTCCCGTGGAAGGCAGGCCCACAGGAGGTAGACCAGGGCTCCCCAGTCATTCCGGTTTCTCTCAGGCTTCCCGTCAGAAAGGTCTGTCCTCTTTTCACCTGCCTCCTGTCTGGATGGCGCCAGCCCTTTCCTGTCCAGCGTTTGCATTGAGCTTAGGTTCCTGGGCTTCCCTCAAATCACAAAGACACAATCCTCCTGTTTCTGCAGGTGGGCCGGAGGGTCCTGGGAAGGACCGCAGGTAAAAAGCCTCCCAGGTGGGGTAAGGAGCCTGGTAATTAGAATCTGCCAACTCTTGGGGGCACCCTTCTAGTTGCTAGAAGGGATGCAGCCCCATTCATGAATCACTCAATAAAGCCAATTAGACCTTTACATTTAAAAAAAATCTGCTAGTTCTCAAAAGGTGAGTTCCGCTTCCTGAACAAACCCCATGGACCCACAGCCTGCACTCAGCACGCATCTCCCACAGTGCTGCCATTGGAGAATGCGGTCAGGCTGCATTTATGGGGCTGTGCTCACTTGTGGCGTGGGCAGTGGGCTAATGGCTTTCCATCTGCTAATGCCCAGCTCCTCCAGCTCTTGCCCTCAGCCCTCTCCTGTCTTTGCCCAGCACTGCTGTTAGAAGCCAGAGCCTCACTGCCCAGTATAATGTTTTCCACATGCCCAGTATTGAGGGTAGCCTAGGGCAGAGTGTGTCTGCTCAGACCACCTGGCACCACTGTGGTCCTGCCTGCCGGGACCCAGATTCTCACTGCTGGTCCCACTGCCTCCTACCCAGGAGCTCGTTTCCCCTCTGAAGTACGGCCAGCAGCACCCAGGCCACCCTCTGAGCTGAAAGGGCAGAGCATTCTCCAGCCAGGAGACGGGATGAGGTACCTGAGCAGGCGCCCAGCCCACTTGGGCATCTCATTTGCTGGGGGCATGGCAGGCACAGTGGGTAGCTGCCTACCTACCAGCTTCCCAGACACCCTGGCCCAGGAGGAGATAAGGGACAGGACCTGGCGGCCTCAGAGGGAGCTGGCCAGACCCTCTGGTCTCACCTATTACCTGCACATCATACCCTCTTTCACTGGCCAGGCACAGAGCAACAGCATCTGTTTTGTACATAAACCAGAGAGAGAGAGCTGAGAGAAATGGCATCAGACGGGGATGGGGCGGGGCACGCGGAGGCTGGTTTCTCTAAGGCCCAGACCCTGGCTTTTTGGCAAGGGCAGAGCCTTTGCAGACCAGGTCACAGATTACTAGTCCAACCACTCCGGATGGAGAGACTGAGATCCAGTGAGAGGGCTTTCCAAGGCCACAGAACTACGCAATAGTTCTAGACACACTGGTGGCTAGACCTCCATTCTGACTCCCGCTCTGCCTGGTCTCACAGCCGTTGGCCCTCCCTGATTCTAGGAGGCAGTCCCCTGTCCGTCCGTCCCCCCAGAGAGTGGCCCAGCCACATGAAGAGGACCGCAGACCAGGAGTCCCCAGTGTGGGCTCCCATCCCAGCTCTGCACCAACTTGCCACCTCCCTTAGCAGTGCTGCTTGTCCTCTAGGCCGCAGCTCCCCTTCTGCAGAGCTGGCTGGACTGGGCAGTCCCTGAGGTCCTGTCCTCTCTGAGGGGTGTAGTGCGTGTAGTGTGTGTGTGCTTGGCAAGAGGCCAGCGCCCTGCCCCACCCGCCTGGGTGTGGGCGGCGCCGGGCCGGGCCGGGCCCTGACCCTCCGTCTCTCTCTGGCCAGCGACGAGGACAACAAGCCCCTGCAGGGCAGCCAGACATCCCTGGACGGCACCATCAAGCAGCAGGAGAGCGACGACAGCCTGGTGGACTACGGCGAGGGTGGCGAGGGCCAGTTCAATGAGGACGGCTCCTTCATTGGCCAGTACACCGTCAAAAAGGACAAGGAGGAGACCGAAGGCAACGAGAGCTCGGAGGCCACGTCACCCGTCAACGCCATCTATTCTCTGGCCTAACGGAGCCCCCCAGGCACCGCCACTACTTTGCAAGTGGGAAGAGAAGAGATGGGGGGGGACAGAGCCACCACCTTCAGGGACAAGGGCACAACATGGGGGTCTGCCAAGCTGTGAGGACCACTGACCACCCAGCCAACCACAAGCCCCCTCCCAATGACCCCACACGCCCGGTGCCACCTGTGTGGGAGAGCTAGACCCATGGCCAAGCTCAGCTGGAGGGAGCCCAAGCCCCTTGCTCAGCCTCACAGGCACCCTAAGCCTTTCTCCCACACTGCCTGCCCTTGACCTTGACACACACTCACCAATTTTTGTTGATTCTGGTACTTCTCATTGTCTTTATTTTTGCTCTATGCATCTTCTCCAGACTTAATGTCTCCATTTTATTTTCCTTTTGAAATACCCCTGGAAAAAATTAGGTGGATTATCCGCCCCCTGAAAACTGCAAAGATAGGCAAAAAAGTTTGGTCCATAAAAACACAGAGAAAAGCTGCAGTATTCAAACCACACCGGGCCAATGTATTTCCGAAGGATGCCTTTCTCGCCATATGCCTCCCGGTGCCCACAACCCATCCACCTCGGCCTTGTCACTTGCTGAGCTGGGCTTGGCTCCTTTCTGGGAAAATGACAGTATTTTTTGCAGGGGGCGGGAACAGGGCACCCCGCCTCTCTCTGGCTCAGTTGGGAGGTGGGCTTCCCTCTTGCTCCTCACTCTTACCCCGCCCCACCCTCCAGTGTCCACAATGGGAGCTGCATCGACTCTGACGAAGGAGCTCAGGGCACAAGCACGGGCACTGGTGAAAGGGGCTCCAACTCCAGTGACTGGTACCTCAAGCAGCAGAAAATCAGGCGTCTGGTTCCTGGGGAGCTACACTCGCCTCAAGACAGGAGAAAAAGACTGGGTTTGGACTCCTTCTTCCCCATCAGTGAAACTCAGGGTGTAGGAGTGAGGGCCACACCGACTGCCATCCAGAGTAGAGGGTGCCCCCCGCTTGGTCAGGGGTCGGCGCCGCTGCCTCAAGAAGATGGAGCCCTGTGATACAACAGCCTTGCTGGTGTATCCTGGAGTGTGAAGCACTGCGCCCCTTTCACCTCCAGCAGGCGCCATCTCTTCGATCGCCTCCATCGAGTTTGGACCTGTGCAGAAGGGCCCTGCCGCCCTGAGGCTGAGATGGAGCCAGCGTCCTTTCCTGTCCAACCCGGCAGGGCCGGTGCCCTAACAGGGTGGTGAAGCCTGGCCTGGACGACTCAGCGCTCTTCGTATGCCTTACGCAACTCTGCTCTGTCCCTGCAGTTCCCAGGTTCCCAGCCCCTCCCCGCAAGCCTCGAAGCCTCCAGCAACAACGTCTGTCTCAAGGGAAACGAGGCGGCCTATGCAAGCGTCACAGCAGAACCAGAAGCAACCACTTGACAAGCCCTGCAACCGTTGCCCCAGGTGGAGACACTCGCAGACCTGCAGTTCTCAGTGACCGAAGGCGCGGCCTTCATCCACCCCACCTAATCCACTTTTGAAACCAAAGGTACCTAGTCTCAGAGGAGAGAGATCTTGAGCCCAAGTGTAGTCCTGTAGCTTCAGCTAGCATCAATTTCAGGAGGGGGAAGCTGACCCCAGTAATGGGCCACCTGCCACAGACAGCCTCTGAGTTGGGTCTCCGGATGCTTGCCAGGGGACCTGGGCGGGAACAGAGCTAAGTCCTTCAGAGACTTTTTGAAAGCATCATTTGCCACGTGTGAAGCCACAAAGGTGTTAGCAGTGCTTGTATCACTTAGTAAGCAGTCAGTGAAGGTCAAGCCCATAGATATACATACTCTGCCTGCAGGCATGAAACCATAGCCCAAAGCTCAGCCAATTACATTGTTTGAACCTGAAAGCAAGTAACTGTCCTTTGGCCTTAGCCATGGTCAGGTTCACTACCTAGAAGCCCAAGGAGCAGATCTCTCATGGTGACAGGCACCAGGTAGATGGCAAGGGGCAGGAGAGTGAGCTCAGGGGTCCCATTCCCTGGCTTTGCTCTGACCTGTACCTGGACACAGCTGGGCATTCCTGCAGCCTAGGCCCAGGGTCCACGAAGGGACTGTCGGGGAAGTGTGCCTGTGAGCCGGATGAAAGACCGGCCTTTTCGGAAAACACTGGATCTGTGCAAGGCAGGCAGTTTCTCGGGCCCTGAGTCCGTGCCGCACCTTGCACACTAGTGAACTTCATTGCACTGAAACAGCCTCTTAGGGCAAGAAGGACTGTGAGAAGTCCCCATACCCCTCCCCTGCCTCTAGAAGGTCTGCTGCACACTGGTGACCAGGGGAGGGCCTCTGCCGCCACTGGGTCCAGGGGGCGGCGACCTGTCTTTGCTCCTGGTTCCCATCCTGCCCGGCTCTACGCCGTCCCTCGTGGTGTGTGAAGACAGCGCTGTCGGCCCCATCGGGAGCCTGCCACACAACCCTCCTGGCAGGTGGGAGCACACCTGGGCCTGAAGACACAAGCTGTTCCCAAGCAAAGGGGGCAGGTACTTAGGGAGGCGTGTGGGTTGCAGGGTTAGGGTTAGGGAGGCAGCCCTCTGGAAGAAGGAAGTCCGCTTTTCATAGCACCTGCCAGGGTCCGCCCAGCTCAGCAGGACAGCGGTATTGTCCCACGCTCCCCGCCAGCCGGGGCTCTCAAGCAACCCCCCAAAATGCCCACCAGTGCTGAAAAGGGTGGTACCTTTGGCACTTCACCCTGTCCGGCTGGGGGATCAGGCTGGAGGTGGTGGGGGGAGAAGTACAGGTTATCTCACAGTGACTAGAAGTTCCATTGCTGTGCACACCTGGGGGCAAGAGCTGTGGCTTCCTTTGCCCTCGTCTGTCCGGTGACTGCCCAGCACCTGCCCTCGAAAATCCAGCATGAGCCGGGTTCGGAGCCATGGGTGCCATAGTGAAGAGTCAGGCGTGGCCCCCCTTGGGCCTGCCAGTCCTGGACCTGAGTCTTGGAACACAGTGGCATTGCTTGGGAGCACTCTAAGCATGCGAGCTTCCAGGGACCCCAGGCTGGAAGGGACAGTGTTCAGAGGGAGAATTGGTCTGTCAGGCAGGGCAAGACAGGGCATCGAAACTCGGGGGCAGCGGGGGAGGGGCAGCCCCGCCTCCTGAGCCTCTGCTCTGCCCCCAGGGCAAGGGGCTTAAACTGTCTGTATTTTGGTGCCTCAGTCTCCCCTGTTCAGTCCCTCCTTGAATGACTCTCCACAGAGGGACATGGCCCCACCTGAGGAGCCAAGAGGCTAGTGCCTGGTGAGCCTGCCACTGCAGGGCCAGGGGACAGCCACCACTTGCCTTGCTTGGTTTGTGAAGAATGGGACCTATTCTTTCCTACCTTGCTTTTGAGGAGAGGGTTGAGTTTAAGCTAAAGGGAAAACCAAACTGGCTCCTTCCTCTGTCCATTGCCTTTGCCCTGAGGTGTTGGAAGGGTCTGGTCCACCCCTTTCCTAGCAAACCAGATCTGGAGAAGGGCCCGCCTGCCTGAGTGGCCGACAGTGCCAGCCTTGCTCACCTGCAAGAGCTGTCTGCCACCTGGGACCAGAGAGCTTCATCGTTTTCCTGAACGTGCTTGGCCTTAGCAAGGGGATAGAAACAGATCCAAGAGTATCTGGCTTTCTCAGCTGAGGGACTACCTCTCCCCACCTGCACCCAGCATCCTCGCAAGGGCTCAGCCGCACGTGGGCACACGCACAGCAGACCAAGGCCACGTTGCCGGACGGCTACGCAGAAGGAATGACGCAGAGTATGGCGTTGCCTTGGAGGGGCCAAGTCCACACCTTGGCCCGCTTGAGATGAGGTGTGCAGGGCTGTGTGGGGCACATCGCCCGATTCAGGGCACAGGAAAGGCTGCCTGGGCTGGGCCGGTTTGGGCGATTCCAGAGGGCGACAGGAAGAGAGAACAAGTCTGATGCAAAGGAGAGTGAACCTTCCCCAGGAACAGCACAAGCAGTGTCTCTTTAAGGCTCCTGGGGCCCTTTGCAAATCGGAGCCACGTCCCAGAGCAGCACAAACAGCCCCGTGACTGAAGGAATGAAGGTTCGACATGTTCTGGCTTTGCCTTTACAAGGCTTGTTGGCTGACACTGAAGAGGCGAGGCTCCTTGGGAGTCTGGTCCCCAGGGGCTGGCGCCACGGAGCCCCTTCTCAGTGGGAGGGTGGCAGGTGCCTGCGATACAGGCACAGAGCGTGCTCCTCCCTCATGACACCTTGATCACGACTCCGGGAGCATCCACCAAACACAGTCAGGGCCCCTAGAAAGAAATCCCCTGTGGATCCTGGTTGAGCTTCGAAGGGCGACCTAGGAGTAGTGTATAGGAGGCGTCTGATTTTTTTTAAAGTCAGAGTCAAACAAAACAGAGCTTGACATGTCAGGAGATTCAGTGTTCTGGGCGGAGCGCAGCTCCCGGGCGGCCCAGCCTGCCCAGCCCCAGCCTCCCTCCCCCGCTGGGGACAGGCCCTCCTGAGACAGGTGCAGAGAAGGGTCGGAGGGGAAGGAGGACAGCCACCCAGGGAAGCCGCACCGTAACCAGCGCTCCTCTGCCAGCGTGTTAGTGTGAAGTGGATGTTCCATAATGGTAAGGACGCCCGTGAAACAGATGAAAAGACATCTAGCATGGGATCGGGTTCAGAGTTCAGCACGTGAAGGAATCCAGGCTGATCTGACTAAAGCGACTCATCCTGCAGACAGGGGCACTAAAATCCGGACAGGCGAAGGGGACTTGCCAGGGTCACACGGCCAGTAAATGAAGGTGAGGTTAGGGCTTGAGCCCGGGCCCCATGACTCCTTTCCTAGTGTTCTTGCATCTCCTCCAGCTGCCTCCTTGGAAACAGAGGTGTTACTCAACTCTGTCCTTCGGTTCCCCCTCGGTACCCCTTCGCCCCTTTCGCCACACGCCCATATCCTCCCAAAGTGAAAGACACAAAGGATTCTTCTGAGTCCAGGGTCAGTCAGTGTGCCAGCCTGTGGTGTGAAGGGCAGACCCAGGCCAGGAGGAGGGTGGTGAGGTGGCTGGTGTTTGTCACTGTGAAGCCTGGACTTGTCGCACGTCGGCCCCCCAGCACGCTGTGCCCCTCGGAGTGAGGGTGTAAGGGGCTCCCTGTCCACTCCACCCGTGAGGCCCTGCCGCGCTGGGGTCCACCGGGCCGCGGTCCAGCACATGTACGGACTTCAGTGAAGCAATAACACGAAATCCGGGACAAGCGACCCGGAATTTTGTGCACCGCTGTTTCTTTTTCTAAAACGATGCAGATCAGATGACCCTGCCCTGCTGCTCCTTTTTCTCATCCTAGTGCCACGTCCTCGGTCAGTGTTGCCCCTCTGCCCACCTGCCAGCTCTTGGCCAACCTCACAGCCCTTCTGGGCCGTAGCGTCAGTCGCCTGTGACGTGCGCCTTCTGTCCTGGTCCCACCCCAACCCACGCCGGGCCGTCCCCGTTTGTTCCCTTCGGTGGGAAAATGTTTCCCCAGTGTCTCCATCCCTTCTCACCTGTGTGCACACCACACGTCCGATCTTTTCCCCATTGGTTAAATACTTAACTCACTGTGGCAGACGTTGTTTTAACCCCTCTCACATCGTGTTCTTTCCTTTTGTGAGTTGTTTTGCATTAACCAACATCGTTAGCGACAGGCACGTTCCTGAGGGTGTCACGCGCGACCTTCAGCAGGGAAGACGTCTGGGCCATGGAGGACCATCTAATACATGGACTTATGAACTGACTGCATGAGCAAAGAAAAGGCCAAATTATTCAGAATTTTTTTTTGAATCACTGTAAAAAAACCTGATTTCTTTTGTATAGAGAACACTAAACGTATAATAAAAGTTGTTCACAATGGACTCTGGGCATATGTTCGCTTCCTTGGTGGGCGGGAGAGGGATGTCAGGGGCGAACGATAGGAACAAATCCAAGGTTCCTCCGGGCGTCGGACAGCAGTGCCTCTGGGGCTCTGTCGTGGGGGGACTGGGATGGGCACGGCCGTGGAGACCCCGAGTCACCGCGACTGTGTGCTGGCACGGAAGACGCCTCATCTGGCTGCATCATCAAAACTCACGACAGGCCGAAGCCCCTCTCAGTAGACTCAGAGGGCTGCCAGGCAACAAGCAACCAGGAGTGGGGAGAAGCAGCGGGGGCTGCTGGTCGAGAGGGACTGCTCGCCTCTCGCTGCACCTGTGACTTACGGTCGGGGGGCTACAGGTGTGCTAATTCTCACTGAGGAGTGGCCCCGGAGTGCCGCCCGGGCAGGAAGGACAGTGAGTGACCCCGGCAATGTGGCTCCCTGTCCTCAGGGTGGGGGCGCTGGGAGGAGGCTCTGATAACTGATGGTCTGTAGGCAGTACTGGGGGTGAAGGGGCAAACGGGTTTCCCTGAAAACGCAAACCCAACTCTCTTAAACAAAGAACCACCAAGTGACTATACGACCTACCTGTGGTTACTCTCCCTTCAAAAGTCCTCAGAATGGAGCCCTGAGGGGTTTATTGCTTTATTAAAATGAGACTTTAGCCCTGTCTTGTGTGGCTCAGTAGATTGAGTGCGAGTCTGTGAACCAAAGAGTCACGTGTTCAACTCCCAGCCAGGGCACATGCCTGGGTTGTGGGCTGCGTCCCCAGTACGGGGTGTGAGAGAGGCAACCACACACTGATGTTTCTCTCCCTCTCTTTCTCCTTCCCCTCTCTCTAGAAATAAATAAATAAAATAGTTTTTTAAAAGACTTTATTTCCAGGTCTGAATTGTTGGGTAACTCTTTGGGTACGTTACACATACCTCTCACTCTTCTATTCTCACCTTCAAATGTGAGACACACCCTTTCTCTTCACTGTCAAGCTCACGGTCTCCGAAGTGTCCATGTGCACTGTCCCACCATGACTCCAAGCCCTCGTCCTGAGTTAGTCTCCCTGCCTCCTGTGTGGCCTGTTGCCCTTGTAACTGCAGCCGACAGCAGCTGCGATGCCGACCCGGCGCGTGGCTCCTCTACTGGAAACCTGCAGCTTGCTGCAGTGGGATGAGCTCTGAGCTCCTTGGTTTGGCACCGTAGACCTTTCACGACCTGACCCTCATGCCTGCAGCCCTGTTTTTCACCACTTCCCGCATATATCCCACACTCCAGCCGTTCCAAGTTAGTTCTAGCTCCGGCCGATGGGCAGTGCTTTTCTCTAATTCTCAGCTTTGGCAACTTAATTCAACTTAAAAGCACCTATTAATAACCGACTCTGCCAATTAATGACATACAATGTGCAGGATAAAGTTCCAGTCCTCAGGAAGCTCCGACTGCCATGGAGACAGTCAAATAAGCCAGTGCAGTGTCTCAGTGCCAGGGACATGTGCTCAGATGAATTCAGGTTCAATACTGGACTGTGACCCAAAGGCGGGTCTGCTTGGAACAGCATCCTCTTGGCCTTCTGTACCCCTGCTCTTCTGGATAATTCGCAGCCACTGGCGTGGACGCTCACAGCCAGGCGTCACAACCATGATTCCAGGCTCCTTCCTATTTCTCGTTCCAAATTCTCCTTATGGATCATTTCTCTTGGGCTCCTCAAGGGCAGGCTGTGGCCCCTGCGCTGGGTCACATCTTAGCAATTAGCTCAGGTGACACTGTCTCAGGAAGTCTCCCCTGATATCTGGTATGACGAGCACAAGGACACTCAGAAACACCTGCCAGGTCTGGTTTAGATCCCCTCACTATGCCCAGAACGCCTGTTTTATGTCTCTCACAGGGTGTAGGCATACAATTGTTTTCTTTTTTTCACTACTGTGTGGACATCTGAGCATAAGATGTCTTATTTTCATCTCTGCCTACAGACCAGTACCTGGCACAGAGCAAGGACCAAATGAACGTGAGACGACTGTTCTTTGACAGCAGTAGCTGGGTGGGTTCAAGACTCTTGTGTCACCCTCTTTGGGTGTTGGATATGTGGACATTGGACTTGGACATGACATTTCAGGGGTGGGGGGTGGTTCGCTGGCCCAATTTTGGAGCAGGAGGCATGACTCGGGGACAGAAGTGAAGAGACAAGCGAGCCTCTTATTTGAAGAAAGCCGACCTCAGCGCCACGGAGGCCAAACAAAGCACTGCCTCTCTTTGGAGCCCCAGGGACCCCCAGGGACCCCCAGGACGCCTGTCATCCCTCATCCCTGTTTCCCGGAGGCTGCGCCTCCCAGCCCATTAGAAATGCTAATCTCCAGCTCAGAGCTGGATTAACCGACCGGGTGCGAGGGGACCATCATCTCCAATCTTTATTAAGAGTGAAGGCTGTACCCTCCCTGGCCCAGCTGCCCCCAAAGGGATGGAATCTGGGCATTCGTTACAGCCCCTCTGACTGAGGCGGCCTCCGCTGCTCACCGCCTGCCCGCATTAGGTGGAGGAAGGCAGGGGAGGGCCCACGGTCGCCTCCTCCTCCCCACTTAATGCATCAGAGCCCATTTGTTTGATGTCAGCTCCTGCTGGAGCACAGGCCAGGCACTGGGCCGCAGAGCAATTTGGAGCCACAGCTGCGGCCCGACTGCCCAGCCCGCAGCGCCCCCCTCCCCCACCTCCTCCCTAGAACTTGCTGCTGATCAGCCCCAGACCCCACAGCAGAAGAGTGTGGCTTTGTGTCAACCAGGAAACAGTCTGGTTCGAGAACACTCTCAGCCCTGGCTCGGGTTCAGTAGGAGCTCACCTTCCCCACACTCAGTGGGAACAGGAATTCGGACCCCTCAACCTCACAGAGGATGAGCTGTGCCAGAGAGCAGGGGAGAAGTTCACCCTGAAACCCACAAAATTACCAAGTGTGGGCCAGGAGAGGCCACAGGCCGCCCCTGCTGGTATGGCTCAGCTGGTAGGAGCGTCGTCCCACAACCAAAAGGCTGCAGTTTCGATTTCTGGTCAGGACATGTATCTAGGTTGCAGGTTCGACCCCCAGTCTGGACGTGTATGATCCCCGGTCCAGACACATATGAGAGGCAACCAACTGATGTTTCTCTCTCTCCCTTCCTCTCTCTCTAAAATAGCAATGAAAAAAATATCCTTGGGTGAGGATGATACATACATACATACATACATACATACATACATAAGGAGCCATGTACTAAACCTGACAAGCTCAGGGGAGGCCTGCATGATGGCCTTGCACACTCAAAGACCCAAAGTAAGCACACAGGATGGTTTGAAGTTAAAAGCTTTCTCACTGGAGGCAGGTCACGGCGGACAGTCACGTCCTAGGCTAGAATCTTCCCTGACGGGGTCAGTCATTACCTTAACTGAGCCTGTCTGTTGTCTCTGTGCATCCAGGATAACACACGTTTGGGATTTCAGGTGTCCCCTTCTCCAGACCCCTCAAAGCACAGGCACGCCCCAGAGGAACGTGAGCCCCCGCACGCTGCTATTGTTCCCGTGGAAGTTGTTGACTGCTAACTACCCCTCCTCCCACGTCGTGTAAAAGAAGTGTGTGTCTATCATTTTACTTTTCATCCAAACCCAGGGGTCGCCTCCCTCGCTTTTTTTCTCCCGCCCCCCTGATCTATAACCAATGGATTTCATGGAACTCCCTATGTCTTCTCTTTTGATCTGTATAAGATAAAGTGCAAAGCTTCTGCTTCTCCGGAGTGTGTTCTCAGACTGTTGGGGTTTTGCTTCCTGGCAGTTGTCAGTTTGGCTCAAATAAACTCATGAAAATTCTTACAGGTCCGGAGGTTTCTTATGTTGACATCAGTATATATTTAACATCATGGTTGCCCCTAACGAGGCTGAAGCAGGGGCCCAGGCAGCGCTCTGGGAAGGAGCTTGCCAGAGCAGCAGCGATGAGTCCCGTACCACAGAGGGCGGGGACTCCGGAACTCCTGGGCAACGGGGACCAGTGGCGCAGAGGAGAAGCAGGGACCAACAGAAGTAAGATGGGAGTAGTGACTCTCCAAGTTCAATCCCTAGACCGACAGCACAGAATCACCTGGGAACTTCTGAAATGCAAATTTTAGAGCCCCCATCAGTCTACCCTATGAGAAACTATGGAATCCAGCCCCGGCCAGGGTGGCTCGGTTGGCAGAGTGTTGTCCCCAGTTCAGTTCCCAGCCAGGACACGGGCCTGGGCTGCGGAGGGTCCCGGTTGCGAACCGTGCAAGAGGTAGCCAGTGGACGTTTCTCTCACACATCAACGCTTCTCTCCCTCTCTTTCTCCCTCCCTTCCCCTCTCTCTAAAAATAAAAAATGAATAAATAAAGATTATATATTTATATGTGTGTGTGTGTGTGTGTGTATAAGAAACCGTGTGATCTGTTTTAACAATCCTCCAGGCTGAAGTCGGAGGACCACTAGACTTCAATGAGAACGATGGGCACTGTGCGATGTGACCTTCCCCATGGCCCCCAAACTGTCAGTCAGTCCACCCAGTTAATACATTTGCCTCGTGTGATGGATGTTTTACACAAACTAACAAAGTCAGTGAGGTCTACGTCCAAATTAATGCAGGGTGAAGCGGAGACCAGCAGAGAATGTAGGGGTCAGAGAACAGGGCCCCAGGGATCAGCAAAAAGTGTGGGAGTGACTTTGACTTTCACAGACCATGGAATTGGCAGGGAGTGACACCGAAGAGGCAATACACATTTACGTCAAAGAGGCACGAGGGCACCAGATGGTCTTTCGGCCACAATGCATTTAATGACTGGAGGAGAAGGGGAACTAATAATGTTGATGCCGCAGACTGTGTGAGGCAGGGCAAAGTGCACTTTATGCTAATTATCTCTGCTAACTCTCACACCAGCCGTCTGACGCAGGTAGCTTTACATCCTACCGACTCCAGGAAACCGGGGGCTCCTGGGGCTGAATAATTCGCCCGAGGTAGTTGACAAAGCCAGAGCCAGCTGC